TTAAAAGATATTAACAAGTTATAAAAATGACAAGGAATGCAGTTAATTGAAATTACTTCTGTTGCTAAGGCTTTAAATGACTTTAATTTAGATGTCAGAAAATCACATGCTCAAACTTAACTATCTTGAAAATATTCAATTTTAAAGCATAAGAAAAGTATTCTGCAAATATCTGATTTTTACTTATTTGGGTAATTTTTATATAAGTATGAGACTCGTTTTAATATTCCAATATATATATTTATATATTAATTATTTCATTATGATTTTATGTTTATACCATGTTGTTCGGCTATATTTCTTAGGCTTTCTAGAAAAGTTACAAAAAGTATGCTATAGATATGTATACATATTTCTAAATTTCTTTAAAGCATGTTTAAAATAGTTTAATTCTTTTTTATAATATATATAAATATTTCATAAATTCAATTTACTTTCATTTTTCTTAGCAAAAACAAATAAACTCGGAAAGTATATTAATAAAAGTCTGGTTTAAAATATTTTTAAGTATTTAAATCTTTAAATTCCAAAACTTTTAACAGAGGTCATGCTCTGCCCACCCGCAACCAATTTAAGATGAACCTGTCTGACCTTCAATCCTTTTACACACCCCATTTATCTATATATATACATATATTCAGGTTGGGTCAATGCCAATTTTATAACCCCAAAAAATACTAATTACCCTCAATCGGGCCACACACACTCATATACACACACCAACAACAACCACTAACCAGGATGGACCTGTTGAGCTAGCCACAAGTTTTAGGGGGTTGTCTATACTATATATATGAGGGTACACCTGCGATTAGGTCGGGAAATCTATGCCAACAAACACCACCTAGAATAGAGCACCACCCAGAGACAGTCAAAACAAACAATACAATATATATATATATATCTATATATATATATATATATATAGAGAAAGAGAGAGCGGGGGTATGTTTATGTTATGCTTTATGAATGGGAGCGCGACTCTAACTACCACCAAGTCGCACTTTGTTTTGGTTTCTGTTGTTTTCTTTTTTTTTTTTGGGAAAACTCCTAAAAGTGACGAAGACGTTGTGTGGATGAGGCTGATGACATGCCGGCACATGCCAATGAACTGCAAGGTGGGTAATACGCTGCTCTTAGTAGTGGTTGTGCTGGTGTCGGCGGTGGTGGTTCGGTTAAGCACATGACCAAGAGCGGAGCAAAGCAGAGCACATGGCTTTTCCGTGGTGGTCGGTCGGTCGGTGCCTTATATTTGACTTGGTGGTTGCTGCCGGCTTACTCCCTGACTGGTTGACTGGGGGGGTCTTGTACCCGGTGTCGAACGTCCTTGCACCTACAAAGGTCGTGGTCTCCTTACGCTGTCTACTGTCTGTGTTGTTGTTGTGAGCGGAACCACCCCATGCGCCATGTGGCCCAGAGCCAGTGCGCCAAAGTAGGTCGTGGACATGGTCGCATTGCCGGTGGTTGCTCTGCCTTTAACTCTACTCACAGCACTGCACAGCACAGCACAGCAGAGCTCAGCTCAGCTCAGTTCAGTTCAGTGGTGGTTCCAAAAATATATCTATATATATACATATATGTGTGTTGGCCCAGACTTGTCTAAGGGTTACATTTTGTTTATAAACATTGCGCAAAAACAGCTGATTTTTGGCAACATCCCCCATTAAACACTGTGGTATGCGTGTAGGGTCGGTCACGACCAGAGCCAACCGGGCCAACACTCTAACCAGCTGACGAGCTCAGCAAAGGCTCGAATCTGTATGGCCAACTCAGGCAGGGCAACACCTGCACTTCTAGTGCTTAGTCCATAGCTCAGCGGCAGCAGCAGCAAAAGCAGCAGCTGCTTGACCCGAACCAAGCCTGACGGACTGAATGACTGCGTTGCCATCTGTCGCCATGCAAAGGTACGAAGGATAATAAATGCTTTGAATGCCGGCTGCAAAGAACTACCTCTGCCTCTGCCTTTGCTTCTAACTGACTGCCCGACCGACTGCCTGCCTATGGCAGCTGCCCGCTGCTGCATTGATTGTGGCTATAGGCAGCATCTGTTTTCAACTGGGAGTTCCCCTAAAACTAGATACGATAGCTGCAACTGCTGCTGCTGCTCCTACTGCTACAAGCACTTTGGCATGCGCCATGACCCAAAGCAAAGGACTGCAATTTACAACGAACAATGCAGCATCTGCAGCAGTTCCAGCTACAGTTGATATTTCAACTTGGCAGCTGATGGACGTCGCTCGATTGATTGGCTGCGGTTGCTGCTAAGAATACATTACTGTGCCATGCAGTACTAGTGTGTGTGTGCGTCTGTGTGTGTGTGTCTATTGTAGAAGTAGAGCAATTTGCGAGCGCTGTCACAATCTAGCCCCAATTGATTAATAACTATAATTCATACTGTCGCGGGGATTTGAAACTTGACATAAGTTAAGTAAGTTTGAGTTACTGATAAATCCATCTATAATATAAATTCCTGTTTTAACTAAATACAACTGCAAAAGAACTAAACTCTGATTGATAATTGACATATATTTCTAGTATATTTTATTTTAAAGCTGTAATTACAATAAATCGTTAATAAAATTTTATTCAAGCTGCGTCAAACTTCTCCTGAACAGGTGTCGAACAGATGAATGGTTAGATAAAAAAATAACAGAAACTTTCATATATAGTGAATAGAAAGTGAAATATTTATATAACTCTCAAACCATATTTGGAGCTTCCATAAAGCATTTTAGTTTTATAATATAATTTAAACTATATTCAAAATTTATTTAAATATTATTTTTTATCAAAAGTGCCAACATTTTAGTGAACGTATTTGAGGGCTGAGTTTAAAGCCTACTTAGCAAATATATAAATATATTTTGTTTTATCTAAAAAATAACTACAACGATATTTAAATTAAAGGCTGTGTTAATAAACATATTCCATATAAGCCACATTATTTAATATTCCTTTTCTTATAATCGCAGCTGTTTGGCTGTGTATATGTATTTGTGTTTGGGTTGTCGGAAAGTATAAATGGGTTTGAACCGTAACGTTTCCGATAAAAATATTATATGCTGGTTAGGCAACATTAGCAGCTGGACGAGCCGCATCACCTGCATGTGCCCCCCAGTAAAAAGGAGCTCGCTTTTCAAACCCACCAGCGAGCCAGCCAGCCAGCATATGGCTATCAAAGATAGCAAGGTACAGCAACGTTAAAAAAATATAAAAACCAGATACGTTCCAGACGCAGCTTTTCGAGCAACTGTAACTTAATACGTAAACAGGGGCACGATCGCCCCAATTGAGCAAGGAATAGGACCCCAACAAAAAAGACAAAAATATGGAAGAAAAAAAGTTTCAAATTGCACTCGCAACTTGTTTTTGGAAAAACCGGTAGCTTACACAGACCGAGAAAGGGAGAGAGAGAAAAAGGTTGTTGGGCGTGGCCAGGACAAGGTATTCAAATCGCACCGATCGTTCAGCAGAGATTACATACAACTTGTCTGGCAAAATCGAAAGAAGAAGAGGACGATAACTGTTACAATATTTGAGATTTCCGTTTGGGAAGTGCAAAACGAACAAGAGAATCCGCAAAAGAATTAAATACAAAGAGGGAAAAGAGCTGAAAGCAGAGCGAACAAAAATCACGCACATCCGAGCTACAAATCCTGTCGCAGCTGCGCGTGTGCATCCTGTGAAATGTTTGCGCAGGCGTACATTGAACTTTGCCTGGGTGTCCTGTTCGCAGTTCCTTTATGCTCTCTGTGTGCTGTCCTGCCTGCAGGTAGGCCGCAGACACAGACATCTTGAGGACCCGAACTCGAACTCGAACTCTGACTCTGGCAGCGAGGAGCAGATGTTTCTCTGGCGCTGTCTTTGTCGCAGGTCAGTTGTCGTCTGGGCTAGCCTGGACTTGGGCCTTGGCTGCATTATCCTGCGTCGTTGTGCTGCCTTTCTGTTTAAGGGTTGTCTACGCATGTCAATAACTTCTCTTTTTTTTATGCTTTTCAAATTTTTGTTTGACGCTTTGTTTACGCTGCGAGCCAAGGCGCGTTTGTTTGATTAGAAGAAGTCATTAACACCGCGATAGCTAAGCAGCTGTCGTCTTAAATTTCGGGGCGTGGCAAAGCTAAATGGGCAGACAAGGTGACTACAAGCTGAGTTGGTTTCAATAAATTATCAAATGATGTCTGAATCGCATGCTATAATAGGCTATGGCTATATTGAAGATTCGAAGATTTCATTTAATATTTAAACAAATTTATAGAATGTATTTTTATTCTATACAAGATAAGATATATTCTAAGTAAGCTAAGTTAACCTCGGCTAGATTAAATGTTCATAACGTGCTACAGTTTTTCATAGAAGAGGTAACTAACTTATTCTCTCTGATAGGCATGTGGAAATGGATAGCATCCTATATACAAAGGACCTTAAAATATATATTTTAAAATAATAAAAATTATAAAATTTTTTTTTATTCTTCAAATATTTTAGACCAGAAATCCTCAAAATATTATTTTAATACAAAAAAATATTTATGAGTTTGGATCAAAGACTTATAAAATTTATAAAAGTAAAAGTAAAAGTAGAGCATTATAAATTTCAAATTTCGATGCATATTTCTTGCTGCTATCTGCTGGTATAGTTTTTATACAAAGTATTTGAATACAATGTTAATTTTATCGGAGACCGACAGACTTTACATAGTTATTAGTATATAACTAACTAATACGCAATCTTAATACGAACAATAAATAATTCTCTTTAAGTTACCAAAGAATAATGAGAAATTCTCACAGCCGAAGCTCAAGTGACGCATTGACCGGCTAAAAAAATAAATAAAATAGAAATCCCAAAGAAAAAGGAGATGGAAAGAGTGGGCCGAAAAGAGAGCAGTCAATTAGGCTCGACAGTACGTCTCGTTGCACGGCACAAAGGTGAAAAATCGATTTTGTGAAAAACTTGACTCGATTGCAATTTGAATTTAAAGCTAAGAACAAGAAACTCACCTTTAATTAAGAAGTTGTTGCAGCACTTTTTTCTTACATGCCGGTCGGCTCGTCAGTTGTTATCGATAAAAAATGTCTTCAACAAATTCGCAATAGTTTGAGGCTCAGAACACAAATGCAACAACAAACGGCGTACGTGACCGAGAACAGCACTAGTTCACAATAGACGTATGTATGCGGTTTATTTACAATAGATCAGCTTGCCTTCTGGACATGCCACAGTGTGGGTGTCCATGCGTGCGAATGTGTGTGTGTGCGCTAGGCTATCTCCGAGTCTGTTTACTGTTTTATTGTTATCTTCATTAAAATACTAATATATTTGTGTTTGTGATTTCCAATTTGCAATTGGCGTCTTCTAATCAGTATCCATATCCAGCTATACCAACTATACTACTCAATTGGAAGAACGCGTTTTTCCATCTCTGTGGTATAGTTGTTGTCCATTGGCATTTCTGTGGCATATTCTGCATACGACATCTTTCATTTAGTTTCACACACTTGCAATTTTTTAGATTTGGAAGTCAAACACTACTTTACGAGGAACAAATTAATAAATACACACAAACTGCAAACTTTTTGCTAATTTTAACAAAACACATTGAAAGAACTAGAGCTGCACCACAGACGATAAGACGTTTCAAGCATCGATAGTTGTTTGAGTATTTTACAGCTTAGTACAATAAGTGATACATATCGATATTGGCTGGGAAAATAATTGTCTGCGGTGGTCACACCTTTTGCACACGTTTTCATCTGCAGATGCAATTTGTATGAGAAGTTTTTAAAAGTGAGTTTACATTTGTTAATAAGTATATTGCATCAGCCAAAATAATTACAACATGCAATTATTTCCCATTAATAACAGCTCAGTTATAAACCTAAACACGCAGCATGCCAGAACAGGACCAACCAAGTAGCACCGACACACCAGCCGGTGATGGTGGGCCACCAAAGACGGCCAAACAATTGGAAAAGGAGGCCAAGAAAGCTGAAAAATTAGCCAAATTACAGGCCAAGTTGGATAAAAAGGCATCAGCAGCACCAGCGGCGGGTGAAAAGAAAGAAAAACCTGAGGTAACTGTCTGTGCCACAAATTGTCATAGGTTAGGTCGATTGTTGTTGTGCCTGCAATACAGTAGGGACTTGAGTAGGGCATTTGATACTCGGCTGACTCATGTACTCATCTTTAATTGCTTCAGCTTATTTCAATTTCAACTCCTCTATTTGCGAAACCCATAAACATTGCAAAAAAGTGAAAGGTATAATTATGATGGTATTGTTATGCCCTGCTTGTCAAAAATGGGTATGCTTAATTTGAAATAGCGTACGTATGCAGGCTGATTGTCAATAGTAATGATATCGTAAAAGTTTAGTTTTGTGATTAATTGATTAATTACATAGTATTATGATGCGTAAAACTATTTAATGTAATGTATTTAAGAACCCTCTCGAATAGTAATAATTAGGAAATTTGATTATGTTAGAGTTACAGGGTATGTATAGGCTCGCCTTCTAAATTTGATAGTTTGTATTATTTTGTTGGATTTGGTGAAAGTTACGGTAAATCTTTTGTTACAGAAACGCACCAAAGAAGTCAAAGAAGCAGCAGTTTATACAGCCAGCACAGCGCCTGGCGAAAAGAAGGATATCAGTGGAGCACTTCCTGATGCGTATAGTCCACGGTATGTGGAGGCGCAGTGGTACAGCTGGTGGGAGAAGCAGGGATTCTTTACACCGGAATATGGCGTAAGTATTATGCAAAATTCATTATTTAGAGTAAGTAATTTCTAATGAGCTTTCCCTTAGCGTGATTCTATTGATGCAGCTAATCCGAATGGGAAATTTATAATGGTCATACCCCCTCCAAATGTAACGGGTTCCCTTCATTTGGGTCATGCGCTGACCAATGCCATTGAGGATGCAATCACGCGTTATCATCGCATGAAGGGACGCACGACATTGTGGGTACCGGGTTGTGACCATGCAGGCATTGCTACGCAGGTAGTGGTGGAGAAGTTACTTTCGCGAGAGGAAGGTCTGTCGCGACATGATCTAGGGCGCGAGAAATTCATCGAACGTATATGGAACTGGAGACGTGAGAAGGGTGGTCGAATCTATGATCAACTGAAGGCCTTAGGTTCTTCTTACGATTGGACGCGTGTGAACTTTACCATGGATCCGAAACTGTGTCGCGCCGTTACGGAGGCTTTTGTGCGTCTGCATGAACAGGGAGCTGTTTATCGCAGTTCACGCTTGGTGAATTGGTCGTGCTCACTGCGCTCCGCCATCTCAGATATTGAAGTGGATAAGGTGGAACTGTCCGGACGCACATTCCTAAGCATACCCGGCTACGAGGACAAGGTTGAATTCGGTGTGCTCATTAAGTTCGCTTACAAGGTAGAGGGTAGCGACGAGGAGATCATTGTGGCCACCACTCGCATTGAGACCATGCTGGGTGATACGGCTGTAGCTGTACATCCACAAGACGAACGCTACAAGCATCTGATTGGCAAGCATGTAGTGCATCCGTTCTGCGATCGCCGCCTGCCCATTGTGAGCGATGACTTTGTGGATATGAATTTTGGTACGGGCGCCGTTAAGATAACACCAGCCCACGATCCCAATGACTACGAGGTGGGAAAACGCTGTAATCTGCCATTCATTACCATATTCAATGATGATGGCTTCATCATTGGAGATTATGGCCAGTTCACGGGACTCAAGCGTTTCGATTGCCGAAAGCAGCTGCTGGAGAAGCTTAAGGAGTTGGGACTCTACCGCGAAACGCTCAACAATGCAATGGTCGTGCCCATTTGTAGTCGTTCCAAGGATGTGGTGGAGCCACTGATCAAGCCTCAATGGTATGTCAGCTGCTCGGACATGGCAGCAGCTGCCACGGAATCTGTGCGCTCTGGTGAGCTAAAGATTGTGCCGGAGCATCACACAAAGACTTGGTATCATTGGATGGATGGCATTCGGGACTGGTGTGTGTCACGGCAACTCTGGTGGGGTCATCGCATACCAGCCTACCATGTGAGCTTTAATGATGCCAGCATTAAAGCCAGTACGGTAAGCATTCAGCTGAAAATTCAAATCCTTTTACAAATTTAACATATCACATTTTTTTCATTCAATGCAGCCTGATGATGAACAGTATTGGATTGTGGCACGTAGTAAAGAAGAGGCTTTGAGCAAGGCAGCTGCACGCTTCGGTGTAGATGCCAGCAAAATTGTGTTGCAACAGGATGAGGATGTGCTGGACACATGGTTCAGTTCCGGTCTATTTCCATTCTCCGTGTTCGGTTGGCCCGACAACACGGCTGATTTGCAGGCCTTCTATCCTACTTCGCTGCTAGAGACGGGCCACGATATACTTTTCTTCTGGGTGGCTCGAATGGTCTTCTTTGGCCAGAAGCTGTTGGGCAAGCTGCCCTTCAAGGAGGTCTATTTGCATCCAATGGTGCGTGATGCGCACGGACGCAAAATGTCCAAGTCGCTCGGAAATGTTATCGATCCCATGGATGTGATACATGGTATTACACTAGAAGGTCTACACGAGCAACTCATTGGTTCCAATTTGGATCCACGTGAGATTGAGAAAGCCAAGTTGGGTCAGAAACAGGACTATCCACAGGGTATACCCGAGTGCGGCTCGGATGCGCTACGATTTGCTCTGTGTGCCTATATTACCCAAGCTCGTGATATTAACCTGGATATCAATCGCGTGCAGGGCTATCGTTTCTTCTGCAACAAGCTCTGGAATGCAACGAAATTCGCCCTACTCTACTTTACCGGGGATGAACGTTACGATACGAAAGTGACAATCTCTGAGCAATCGAATCAAATGGATGCCTGGATTCTGTCCCGATTGGCAGCTACCATTGAGACGTGTAATGTTGGCTTTGATTCCTACGACTTTGCGGCAGCAACCAGCGCCTGCTACGCCTTCTGGCTATACGATGTATGTGATGTGTATTTGGAGTGCCTGAAACCGATCTTCCAGAGCGGCAACGCTGAACAGCAGTCGGCGGCTAGGCGTACTTTGTATGTTTGCCTGGATTATGGCCTACGTCTTCTCTCGCCGTTTATGCCCTTCATCACCGAGGAGCTGTTCCAGCGTCTGCCTAGGGCAGAGAAGACGCCCAGTATCTGCGTAGCCAGTTATCCAAGTAAGAAAATACCATGCAAACCATAATCGAATATTCTCTAATGATTTTTATTTTCCACAGCGAACACCAGCTGGCGCAACGTACAGGTTGAATCCGATGTGGAATTTGTGCAAAAGGCAGCGCGCGTAATACGCTCTGCCCGCTCCGACTACAATTTGCCCAACAAGACCAAGACGGAAGCCTATATCGTGTGCACAGATCCAGCGCCCAATGCGATACTCAAACGTTATGCCAGCGATTTGTCCACTATTGCCTACTGCTCCACTGTGGCGTTCGATACTGCACCACCCGCCGGCTGCGCGATACTCACTGTTTCAGGACAGTGTGAGGTGCATTTACTGCTCAAAGGTCTGATCGAGGCGGACAAGGAGATTGCCAAATTGCACAAGAAACGCGATCAACTGGAGCAGACCGTCAGCAAACTCAGCCAGGCCATTCAGGCCTCCGATTATGCCACCAAGGTACCCGCCGAGGTGCAAGCGGCCAATGAGACAAAGCTAAACGAATCCCGTACTGAAATCGAACGCATTGCTGCTGCCATCGAGACCCTAAAGTTAATGTGAAGCAATAAATACTTGGGTTGGTGCTGAACTATGAACTACATGTTTGTTGATATTTTCCGAGACGCTTGACTATACTCGCTTAAAAAATATATAGGAAAAACTGTAATGCATTTCTGTTGCTTAAAATTTTTTATTAATAGCTACAATTTATAAAATATGTACTAATTTATCAAATGCAAGACATGATTTTTAAAAAGTAAAATGTTCAAATTGTTTATTTTGTTAAGATATTACTATTTATTGATATGTAGGCTCTTCAGGGATGATATTTCTTATTAGTGTCTATGTCAGTATTTTACAAAACACCTCGACAAGTTATTTCAAATAGCCATAAAGGGAGTCAAGCTATACAAAGTATAGAATTCCGATAGAATGTCCGTGGGACTACATCTCATTATCATTGCTCCTCGATATTCGTCCTTGTCTATCAAATATGTAATTTATTAGATTATCTATAGAAAAGAAATCTTAAAAATAAATACTTTACTTAAATAAATCCATTGCTTGGTCTGTAAGGTATATCTAAATGGGAATCACGGAAGAAATATTCGAGTTTTTCAAATTATGTTAAATCCTACAAGAGCTGCTTATCAAGATTCTTAACGGCAGCACATTGATTCCTGCTTTTTCTTTAGAGAAATAACATATGCTTAGAGAATTATACTCTCTCAAGACCTCATACCTCAAGACCATGGCTCAGTACCAGTACTCTTTTTGAGGACTGTATTGAGTCCTTAGCTAGACGCTAAACTGTCTGTGGTACAAATGGAATATTATTGAATAATACTTTCCATTCATACCATTCCAACAGTAATTGAAGCGTCCATTGCCCAGCCGGCACCCGCGTGGAGGGTTCAGTCAGAGGATTTTTGCCAGCCAACCCATTGAACCCATATTATAGAGAAAACTTTCAATGAAAAACTCAATAAAAAACTCTATTGAGTGTACCCAGATCACTATTTGGTTAAGATTATGTAAATAAAAAATTAAAGAAATAAAATCAAATATTAGCATTTTTGGCAGAAGTGTAAGGTATCTTTGGATATTCTGTGAATGAAATATGTAGGATAATTTATAGTTGAATGAAAAACTAAGCTGCGAAATTCTTAATTCTAATTAGGGCTACCATAAACAATTGCTTAAAACTAACTTACAAATTTACAATAATTGTTTGAAAACCAAACTCGAAAACTCATTCAAAGTTTTTGTTATTTGAACCCATACAAATTATAAGGTCAAAAAGATATAAGATCTAGACCTATAGTGAGCCATACGATCATTAAAGATTATATCAATTTACCCGGTGAGCATTCCATAGATCCCGATTGTAAAAGGCACACCTCCGGGGCCTATTAGACATGCATGTTAAAACTCTCAACTTGCAGTTAAAATCAAAACGTACCTCAACTGGTGCAGCACCAATGCCGCCCAAAGAGCCGGTCAACAGCAATAGCAGGAAGGCAACTTCCATTTTCCCAAATGGAGCTAGCATATACATGGTAGTCGAATGCTCAATACCCTTCGTACTTGGATATCTCAATACAGCACAGTCCACTGCGAAATGTAGAGAGAAACTGCGACAATCTACTGGACTGCTGCACGTTTTATACCATTTACGGGGTTCGCTAAAACAGGGTGCTCCGCACAATACGGCGCACAGTGAGAACGGATAGACCACCGAGTGGGAGCACCCCATATGATAAAGTGGGCAGCGTTTTCCTTGATGCCGCACTTGCACCATATTTCAGATAATTTGTGGTAAATACTCCAGCAAACACAGAAAGAGAGTGCGTCTGGCCAAGATTTAAACCAACATAAACGCATTAGGGGCATATGTTCAATTTGATTACGTGTGCGGCAGCGGCAACGGCGACGGCGACGACGACCCTATAGTGGTTAGGTTAGTGCTACTGTCTATGATTCTATTAATAGAATGGGTTGAGGTTATGTCGCTAGAGATAGCACAGTTAACCCTAATTTAAACAGAATGTTATTCGGTGACGTGGATGGTTTCATTGGGCAATAAATTAATGCAAATGTCCGGGTTTCTTGTGGGGTTTACTTCGAGGTAGCACTTTAAATTCTTAAAGAAATTGGCTAAGGCAAATTTTAAATTACAAATAAATTGAAATCCACTGACATTAGAAAAATAGTTTTTAACAGTTGAGTTTTCATAAATCACTTACTTTAGAGTCCACTGAAGTGTTCGAAAGTTGGAGTTACCCTAAGCCCTAAACTACAGACACCTATCAACTTATTATATTTATGTATTTACATGAGAGATTCTTGAGATTTAAACATATTTTTCGAAACTTCGAGCCGACATGAAATATCCCAACAATGTTAGGAAAAAAAGTGTTGTATTCGAAGCATCAATTTAATATTCATATTAAAGTTAGTCAATGTCTCTCTAACAGACTCTGAGAGAGTCCAAATAGTTGTCCTATGGAGCATAGTAAATAGCATTATTTTCTACTTGTCACGTTTTTTCAGCGCATAATCCTATTCCACGTATTCGTATAACTTTGATTGGACTCCACAAAGATTCAGATTAAGATTTAAAATGTATTAAAATACATTTTTGCATGCGATTGGCTGTACCGCAGTCTAAATCAAGTAAATCAAACAAATTAAATTTTTCATTTGACATTTAATTTTCTTTTTTTAATAAATAACAAATCTTTTTTCGATTTTTAAAAATTATACCAAGCAGATATCTGAGCGCACATCTGATTGATTTCGAATGTAAATGACAATAAATAGCTTAGATCGTGTAGGATATATATACATATGTGGTATATAGGTGTATAGTACACTGATATGAATATGATGTCTCCTACCAGGTGAGGCGTGTGGCATGATCCGTCTTGCGCTTAGACATTTTAATGTATCCCAGAAATTGAAGCTCGGCCACAGCGCGTGTAAAGCGTGCTCTAAGCAAAGAAAGGTATAGCAATATGAATATTTTAATACACTTATATATGATATATATGAAAAACTCACTGTATCTGTGGATCGATCTGGTCCTGTGGCAGCTCGTTCTCCTCTTGTTCGTCGCCCGCCCGCAGAACGGAACGGAATGCCTGCAGCCAGTCGAATAGGTTAATCATGCGACCGCACTCCAAATGAAGTTTGTAGACCACCGACAAGTCGGGCAAGGTGCTGACAAGTTGCGACTGTTCCTTCAGCTCGCAGCATTTGCATTGCATATAGAAATGAGGATTATTGAGGGCCGTATGCAGTGCAGCACGAGGTGCCCCAATGATGTTACGGCGCACCGTCGCTATGTCACTAAAGACGTAGATTTCGTGTAGCGGCGGTGCCTGCTGCAGCGGACGCAAATAGGTCAACACCAAATCCGACTCAATGAGTCCCAAGATCTTACTAACGGCACGGCTAAACTCCGACGTTGACTGCTGTTTATCTTGTTTGCTGCGCAACAGCAGCTGTGCCTTCAGCTCCTGGCGGGAGGCAACCTGTGTGAGATCGCTCAATGCAGAAGCGTCTGCCAACGAATTAGTTTCAGTTGCCGGTGTTTGCAGCTCCATGGTAGCTAGTTCAACATCATTGAGTAGCTGCTTGAGCGAGTGCAGCTTAGTGCGCATCAAATCCGAGCACGCATCGCCCAACTCTAGAGGAGCTATCTGTTCGCTGAGGAACAGCTCAGTGCGTGCAATACATTTGCTTAATTTGGCCAGAAACTCGGATTTTGACATAAAACTGAGCATCTGCCAGCATTCCTTGTACTCAGGCTGCTCACTGATGGGTTTGTTTAAGCAGTTCACGTAAAGCTCTCGCCGCAACTTGCCCAGCGGACAGCGTGGCAGATCGCCCACAAGCTCCGAGAAGAACTCCAAGCAACAGCGAAAGAGCATAAAGTGCAACAAGCAATCGCGTAATAGCTGCGGCAGCTTCTTTTTCAGATAATCATCGTCTGTGAGCACGGCAATGATGCGTTTGCAGTCGTTGATTTGCTCTACATAGGGACGAAAAGAAGGCAGCCGCCGTATGGTCTCCATGTCATCATGTGTCAGCTGTTTGATGCGCGCCAGGGCCTTGCTGTAGCTGGTGCATAGAGCGTAGGCATTACCGGCAAAGTAGTGCTCCATCAGGCAGTACTTGAAGCCCTGAATAAAGCCTTGTATAGAGAAGTCATAGTAGAGGAAGATGTGCGTCAGAAACTTAAAAGCCTTGCCGGACAAATGGAACACATACTTCGGCGAGAGCAGCACCTGGTCGAGCAGCTGGAAGGGAAGCGGAATATATGTAAGTGGCCATAGCTGAGAGGAAGTCTTAGATCTGTACCTCATTCAATCCTGTGGGAGCTGCCTGGGTCTGAAATACCCGCAGCTTGATCTTGCTGCTGACGTGGTAGGGTAACGTGCTATGCACTGCTGTCATGGCGGTGGCTACTCCCAGCACTAGGACAAATGGCAGTCGACTGCATTGAGCGCTCAGTATTAGAATGAAATCCTGAAGCACGCTCGCATTGAAGCACTCGAAATCCGGCAAAATAATGACTAAGGCGCGTTGCTTGTCCCCGCCAGAGTAGTTATTTTCATACCATGCATGCAGATGCTTCATGGTGCACTGCGTACGACGCAAACGTTTGCGATCCCGCTCACGTCCATCATCTTCGTCCTCCGCATCTAAACTAACAACCTCAGACTGATCGTCCATCAGATTATACACCATGGATTCCACCGACGCTTTCAATGTGGCGCAATCTCGCGATTGGAGCACACAAACCCGAGCCGATTTCTGCGCATGAAGTCGCTGCGTGAGCGTCTCGAATTGCTTTAGATGATCTGGCTGATTGATGCCTGTTAGTAGCGCCGCTGTGGGCAGCACCTCGCTACTGTCCCTGTCAGCAGCCCGCTCTCCAGTCACAAAATCCATTAGTTCCTCAAGCGTCCGCGCATTGCTCGCCGTTTGTAGCTTCACTATGTGACTGTGGATCTGATCCCAGGACTCGGTGTAGGCAGTATAGAACGGTTGGGTGGTCACCTCCTTGCCAAGGAGGCTGCTGGTTGCAACAGCATTTTTTCGCTTGCTAGGCGTTCTTTTATTGGCGCGTGTCGCTCCATTCTTGTACACAAAACAGCCCTAAATAAAAATATGGAAATGTCGCCAATATCCAACGTATTAAAAAGTAAAGTGCTTACCTTTGAAACAGATATGGTTGGATCCATGGCTCTTGGTTAATTAAGCACTGTTCTGTGTGCTATTGCAAAATAAAGAAATAATTGTTTATGTCAGCTTTGTGCCAATTTCAGTTTATTCGCAGCAATATCAACAACAAAAAGCACTAAATGAAAACAGCTGCAGCGCGCCAAAATTTCGAAACATGTGAAGTTGGCTGCATCTTAAAAAAGTGCTACCCATCAAGTGCAGGTAATCGACATCTTAATTTAGCAGAGCGCGCAAATTCAAACACAGCAAGGTAATGAGAGACTAAGAATATCCCGGCAAGTTGATATGACGGTCCAATATAAGGGCTCCAGTTGTATTCCTATGAACATCACACAAATCACTCCACTTTGGTGCAAATTGGAACGTAAATAAATACATTAGCAAGAAATCGTAGAATAATATAAGCGAAGCCAACAAATAGTCATTGTCACGAATTTCAGCGAAGCGTCCACCATTGATGATTTGCGCATGATACATTATAAACTGTAAATTACAGAATTTAGCTGTTTACATAGTAAATTATAATATTTGAGAGTTCATACAGTCACGACACTAAAGAGAACAAACGCACGGTACACAAAAAAGGTATATGGCACATTTGAGACAATGTGGAGCATCAGAAAGTACATGGCACCAATGAGGCAAAGAATTGCAAATACAACAAGTACCACGATGTCCACAGTAAGGTCATGCTATAAGGGCTGCAATCTATAATATGTATTATATAGAAACTTATATACTTGCTCACTGGAATAAAGGAGCCGAATACAAGGAACACTAAAAGCACAAAGGTCCATATCAGGAAGCTCATTATTAACTGATATTTATAGTGACGCACAATTAATGAAGTTACACCCACGATGATGCATTCATACTGTTAATTAAGTACTGTTAGCATAAGAAAATTATGTAAGTTATTTGCAACTTACTATGATTATAGCAATTATCCAATTGACGGGAGCAGAGAAGCGCAAATCCTCGAAGAATATGAATACAACTATGAGAAGTAAACTGAATATAAAGAATACAATGCCGAGCCAATAATTTCTAGTAAAATATGTATTTATGTCCTCTCTGGAAAAGAAATAAAAGATAAACGATGATCATATTAGGAAGTAAAACAATGACTTACAATAAATGAAACATAAACCATTGAATTAGAGCGAACAAAAGAAAACATCCTGTTACTGTGTATGTGATACAAGCAAACTTTCGCCGTTCAAGTTTGTAATAATATGGCTGCGATTGAAGATCCTCCATTAAAGAATATGCTAATATGTATGTGTGCGTATGTAAAAAAAATTGTTTGTTTTTGTGTAACTTAATGTGTATTGTGACATTGAAAATAATTTTCAAATTTATTGTGTCAGCTGTTACTGATTTCAGTGCTACCCATAAACGCAGACTTGCATTCCGATTGTCTCTGCCATTAGTAGCTAAACAACACTGGACACATTTCGCGCATTAAGACTGCAGCATTTCATAAAACATTTGTGAATGTTTATGTAAAATGTTAGAGGACGAACTTGATATCTATGATGATTTGGATCAATTCCAAGAAGTTGAAAATAAAGTAAGTGCATTTTCGTAATCAGCTAAATGAAATTAATGCGTTCCATTGCTAGAAATGCAAAGAGTTGGAAGCCTGGGAGGCGAAATACGACGCAGCCCAGTTGGAAATTGAGAATTTGCAAGCGGAAAAAAAAGCACTTGCCAAGAAAATCAGGACCATGGAGATAAATTTTCAAAATTTACTTGACACGGCTAAGGCGGAAATCAAGCGCAAGGATGCACAAATAACACAACTACGCAAGGAGTAAGTAACTCGGAGAAAACCGCAGATGCATCAATATCTGATGTTTTAATATTTGCTTATTTGTTTTAATAGGAAAGATGATATATGCTTTAGACGTAAGCAGGCGCCCAATTTGGGGCTGTCCAACTCCCAGATGCAGCCTTCGCCCGAGCTGCAACGTCAGCCACAAAAGCGTTTTAAACGCGATGAAATAACAGACAATAAATGTGAAATTGCATTTAACAACAATAACGAGAACTGCCGTGAGGAAACAAAGAAACATCGTAAGCAAGACACTATTGACGAGGATAAGAAGGAGAAGAAGACACAGGACAAGCGTTCTAATGCAACAGCAAAGGCTCAGTTGTCAGCGAATATAAGGAATCCACACGGCAGAGATCGAGAAAAACAACGAGAAAGAGATCGAGGACGAGATAGAGGTCGCCGTCGCAGTCGCAGTCGTAGTGGGAGTCGTAGCCGAGAACATGGTAAAGGCATAAGTCATGACAGGCACAATTCTAAAAGCAAAGATCAAAGAAGAAAACGATCACGATCACGTTCACGTTCGCGTTCGACTAACAAAACAAGCAGCAGGAATAGGTAAGCTCAATAATTGCAAATGATACACTACTTCGCAATATTTACATGTTTCTAAAGACACCTATCTCGCTTAAAGTAAACGCAACAGCTCACGAGAAGTCGACAGAGGAAATGATGCTAAATCCACGGCCAATACCAAGCATAATAAACAAACAACGATGGATGCACTCTTTGGCAGCACACCTACACAGAATAGTCCAGCGGAAGCTTCGAATGATGACAACAGCGGCGCAGAAAGCGACAAAGTGATTGCAAAGCTCATAGCCAATGTGGAACCGCTTACACCAAAAGAGCTATACACCCCACAGAGCCAGATTGCAGCTCCAGAAGTGACAATGACTAGCAAAAAATTCGAACAAGAAAAGCTACCGGAGGATATTGATAACTATTTTGAGAGCAATGTTGAAAGTAAAGAAAGCCCGCAAAGAGTCGAAAGAAATGCGCATCAAGTCGATGTTGGCAACACAATAAACAAACTAAATCCAAGACAGCATCCCTTAATAAATGAAACTGAAACTTCTCCGAAATCCGAAACGAAGTCGATTGAATTAGAAAATGAAACAGACAAAGAACTGAATAAAAGCGCGAAAGAGCAAGCCGAAGATGAAGGGGAAAACCAAACGTCCCCACAGCAAAACTTGATCCCAGCCAAAGAGGATGTAATAGAACAGCCACCTAAAAGTAAAGTGCTAGACGACGTCAAGATGAATGATGCAGCAATCCATCAGCAGATACCAGGCTTGACTATTATAGCCGCAGAACAGACTCGAGAATTCGGAACTGACAACGGCATAGACAATGTTCATATTCCTGGCTTGGATTTAATCAATAATGAGGATCAATTAAATGAAGTGGAGAAAGCGGAAACTATTGAGCATATTGAGCATCCTGGGTTAGATTTAAAGAAGGATGAAATCGTGGAAGTAATGGAAGGAGAAGAACAGAACTTAGTCGATCATGAAAAGTTAATTGATGTGAATGATAGACAAGTCTTAACTTCTGAAGAAGGAAAACCCGGTTTGTGTAAGACAACTGAAGAAACAGTTCTAAAAGAAGTTAATTCAGAGGAATGCAAAGTAATAGCTAACTTGAATTTGACAAAAGATGGTAAAGTAAGCAAAAAGAAGAAAAGAAAAAATGGAAAGGTCAGTGTAGATAATGAAGCTCAACAGAAGACAACAAAAGCCCCGGATAATATAAATACAACAGAACACATTTCTAATCTAATTTCGCTGAATACTGAAGAAAGAATTACAAAAGATGTGGAAGCAGAAGATCAGGAAAGCAATTTTATAGATATTTCAATCAAAACGAAGTCAAATAATGACGAAGAACTGCCGGTTATGGTATTAGCTGTTGAAGAAGAGCTAACAAATGAAACAACTACTAGTAAAATGATAGTAGAGAGTGTCAATAATGAAGCTTCGCTAGGCAAGCAGTTGGCCACTGAAACAGAAGTTGATGTTGCAGCGAAACTCAATGTGGAGTCACATGAATCTGATAAACAGAACTGTGTGACTGCTGAGGAATTAAAGAGCAACCCAAATGAAACTTTGTTGACTGATAACACTGAAAATATTAAAGCAAATACGTCTAAATGCAACAAGTCGCATGAAGATATAACGCATGAGCCTCATCAGGAGCAGACTGCAGTAAAGACAATAGTGAGGAAACCCAACCTGACCACGAACCAACACCAAAGCCCTTCTCAATTGGCTTACACGTTGCTGGCAGAGGAGAATTCAAAGACGCCCAAGCGCCCAGTGCGCAGCATGGAGAGCATACAAATTATTGAGGATATACGCTTGCCCATCAAAATGGACATTGAGAATATTGCTATTAAAGTAGATGGCTCTAACGAGGAGCACACTTTGCTGGCAGAAGAACAAACAGAAGAAGTAAGCTTAAATATGGACGAAGTACCGCAGGCAGCGTCTGAGGTAGAAGAGTCGAAGTTGCAGTTTATTACAGTCAATCAGAATGAAAGAAACTCAACAATTGTTGCTGTTAATACGACAATTACGCCGAAGCTAACAGTTATGGCAGCCACCGTAATGTATGCCCAGCCGGATTCTACAAAGATTGATCACAATGAAGACGATGCCACGCTCGAGGCAGTGATGAATGAGCTAATACCAGATAAGCAGGGCACTGCATTAGAGAATTATCAGAATTTAAGCCTGGAATCGGATACCATTGAAATGGCACTGAAGCAGCTGCATCAGCCGTCGAGTCAAAAGGAAGAGCAACCGGATGAAACAGCTGTCACATCCACCTCAATGAAGGGCGGACAAACGCCCAAGCAGGATCTCATACAAATACTAATGCAATCGCCATTGCAACAGACTGCGGCGCTTTGCCCTGCGAAAGGGAAAAACAAAATTAAAAAGTCTGGAGCACGTACAACCAGCGAAAGGACAACCCCAAGCAGCGAAAACGTTGACAGAGTAACACCAGATCAACGTGAGCAAACGCCATTGAAGAAACGCAAGATAGAGCTAAATGATGAGCACATAACTGCTGATCCAACTGTACCGCCTACGCCACCAAGGGTACCAGTGGCAACGGAGCCATCGATGCAACATGTGACCATCGATGAGACATTCAATGCCAGCAGCCTGGACCAAAGTCATAGCCTTAACAGCAGCGACTCATTTCTGGTGACCAAACGCTGTTCCTTAGGCAATAGCGACTATCAATTCGAGCGGATCAATGATGAAGTTGTGCTCCGTGTCACTCGACGTCGACGACAACGACCAGTAGCACCAACGACAACCATCGAGAAGTAGTATATATATATATATATATATATATATATATATACATATATATATATATATAAATATATATATGTATGTATATGTATATTAAACTGACCACATAGTCTGGTCAATTAAGCTATAGATACAAATACATAAATGCCTATGTAAGTACAGGAGAAACGTAACGTTATATAATAGTACATATATTAATAATAATATTAATAATTTTATACAATTAAAACTTGTGATTTTAGATAATAAATAATATTTTATTTGATGAAGTGCTTAACAAAATTTATATTAAAATAATAAAATTAATAAAAATTGTGTTATTAAATTATTGTTCAATTAACAATCCTTGACGATATTTACAATAAATAATTATATTACACATTGCTTACAATTTTCATTTTTATTTCGTCTTCTCTATTCTAAGTAAACAAAACAAACTGGTTTTGCCCGCGGAAAATTTGAAATTTAAAATTGCTATCGTATTGTAGTATTTTTATGTATCATGTTGCGATGATTCTTGTCGCAAATATCGTAAGAAAAATGTAAGCAATTGTGCGCTCTTCGATAATGCATTGATGTCTTGGGTCATAAATTATCGTGTACAATTAGACAATAATTATCGATAATAATGTTATCCATAATTAGTAGATCGATCATCTTAAAGCTGCTGTCAGTTGTGCATAAATAGAAAATATGCATATACTTTTTTGTCGAAATGGGCCACAGTTAGGCCTGCTTTTCCTTTTCCTCTCCCAGCAGGAAACGTCGCACTACACGAAGTTTGAAAATGGGTACTGATAGCAAAGCGCCTAGGCAGGCGCCAATCCAATATACGATTATATGTTCCAGATTGCTGTGGCCTCGGCAGCCCCATTTGAGGGCCGTGGCCAGTACCGGGTTGAAGTAGCCGCCGGAGAAGTTAAAGGCTGCAAGCAGGGCATAATTAAAAGCGTAAACTTTTTGAGAGGACATGGCGGCAACTGGTAGCCACATTTTAAGCGGGCGAGCACTCACCTGCCACCACGAGACTGGTGCCAATGAAGGAATCAATATAACTACTGAACTTCGGATCCTGTTCGCTGATTGTTTTCGAGGCGAGGCGGCACAACAGCGTAGCCACACCCTCAATGACAGCACCCACGTAAGGACTGACCTGCAAGTCGGCATTGCACTCCTCAAAGGCGCGTCCCTTGTGCGTCTCAGCAAACTCCAGCCACCAGAAGACCTGCACAATACGATACACACAACAGCCTCCCATCAGCTCCGCCCAGGTGCGCAACGCCATTTCTTTGAAGCTGGTGCGTCCCTCCAGCACATCCTCCATGTGAGTGTACGGGCAGGCGGAGGCATCGCCCCACACCTTGCCCCACCAGATGGTCAGCAGAAACAGAAAGATGGCATATGTGGCCACACCGAAGTTGTCAGCCACTGCCAGCCGAATCAATGAATCTCATATTTAGTACCGGGTGCTCTACATCACTTACCGATGATCAGTTCAAAGCAGCAGGCGCACAGTTCTGCCGCGGCAATCGCCTCGTTCATCAGCACCGGCACAAGACCATCCTGGCTCAGCAGTCGTTGACTCACTCGGCGCGCAATCTGTGCTGCAGTGCAGCAGCCGACCATGAAGCCGGCGCTAATGCCTAGTGCTGTCAGTGACATGCTGTTCAAACTCTCTTTAAAGACTGGAAATATTACTATACTAGAATTATTAGTTTTTATTATTAATATTTTATTAATTTTTTTAAATTTATTTTATTATTTTTTTATTAATTTCTTTTATTATTTTTAATTAATTGTTTTTATTTTTTTTATAAACTGTTTTTATATTTACTTTTATATTTTATATTAATTTTTTATTATCAATATTTTATTATTTATTTTTTATTATAAACAGTTACTATTATTACAAGTCTAAAGTAAAAAATAATACTTAACTATTATTTTTATTAATCTCATGATATTTAATTTTTAGTTTGATTGTTATTAATCTTTGTAATTTTTAATGATTAGTATTATTTTTCATTTTTTTATTACTACTCTTGTATGACAGTTAATTGGATAACCTTAAAATTCTACTTTCTTAAAAAAAACATTTTTTTCGAACTTATTTCTATTTTGAAATCATTAATATTTTTGAAAAGTCTGTTAAATCTATATAAATTGCGTATTTCAGTTCAGTACTTGTAATTGTAGTCAAATCATATCCATGTCCACATCCCGACTCAGGCTGTACTGTACCTTAAAATGAGTTTTAATTTAAGTAATTTTGCAAAACAAATCAAAAATGGTTTTTAAAAATCTTAATTTTGTGTATAAATTTGCAGTGTTTTGTTTTGCTTTTATTTGTTTTTTTTTTCCTATACATGTTTGTATATTTACATAAATATATAAACTTTTTTTATTTACATACTGCACTTGTGAGATATTTGGGTAAATATATTTACGCACACACAAACTTTGAAAACTATTTTCGAATTTAGCAGCACGCCAAAATTGTGCTAAAAATATTTGCAGCTTGTTAAACACCGCGAACGAAACAAATTGTCACGATACATCAATCTATTGTATTTTGTGTTTAACATTGATTAGTTGAACTATTATTTAATCTTTTGTTCGGCAATTTAAAATTATATTTCGATTATAACACATGTACATAAATATATATTTTTTTCACAATTGCCTTTTACGCGTTAGGCGCTAATTGGGTTTGCCAAAAAACGAGTTTTCTTCTATTTTCAAAAATTTTAAATATTTCCTTAAGTTCAGCAATCTTAAAACAGTATTATTTATAAGCTTAACGAAATACATACTATGTATTTCTTTATTTTGTAACTTGCCAAATGAAACCAACCACACACGATCGTAGAAGCGACAACGAGCTCGCAGTCGTTGTCGACTCGTACTGAACAATAATAATTTTGATCGCTCTGGGCTGTGTCGCTCATCGTTGGATCTATTAGATCTATTATTAAACAAATGCGCTGTGCTCAAAATATGCTCACTTTATATTAATGCCAATCACGTAGCTTGTCAAAAGCTCAGCTGGAAATTGAGTGCATAACTATTTCACGCTCAGGTTCTTTACTCTCTAATTATGTTTTCGCGGTTCATTCATTATGACAGAATCATTTTAATTACAGTAACCGTTATATTTAAAAATTAAATAACCGTGCAATAAGTACAATCGTGTTGGCATATCGATAACAATTTTAAATGTTTACAGCGCCAAATCGAGTATAGCAGCACCAATTTGAGTTAGCTTAACAGCGATCAATAGTGTTTATCCAACAGCCGCACAACAAGTGAGTTTTTACTTTTATATAAACAAAAATATAAGTTTATCGATTTTATAACTCAGAACAACATGTTTTGCAGTGCTGCAACGCTTCTGCAGTAAACAAATTTTTAAATTGCCCTTGTCATATTGTGGGAGCAGCTGTCACCGCCATGCAACAACAAAAACTCCAACGTCAACAACAACAAATGCTGAGAAATGCACAGCTTTAGACGACGGTTTTACGGATTGGCGGCCTATATATAGGTTGCCCTTAATACGCCTTGTAGCTGCATTTAATCGTCTTAAAGTCTATCAGGCAATATTAACTGCAGCTGGAACACCTCTCGTTTTTGCTCTGCAAAATGCTGGTCACGTCTCGGGTGATGCGCTGGGGATCTACGCAGCCATTGGAGTCTCGGGTCTGATGACGCTCTCGCTGGGCAGTTATTTGTCGTCTAATATGATTGGTTTCATCTACGTCAACGATCAACATGATCAGTTAAAACTGGCCTATGTGGACTTCTGGGGACGACGCAAAGAGTCGCTCGTCGACATTGAGGATTTGCTCCCAGATTGGGAACCAAAGAGCAAGCAACGTCTGGGCTTCTATCAGCCCATCTGTCTGCGAGACAATGAAAAGCAGCGCTACAAGCTCATTCATCGCTTCGGAATCATAACAGATCCTCTTCTATTCGAAGGTCTGTTTGGGAAATGATTTGACTTGTTTCTAAATGATCATTCGCTTGTTTTAATTATAAAAATGTATATATATATACTTTAATATAGTTTATAAATGAAAACAAAACAAGTTAAGCTACATAGCAAAAAGTTTAAACAATCTATGTGCGTTGTTTTATTTAGCTTGTTTATATAGGAATAGCGAGTATTGTAAATAAACTGAATAATGGCGCTAAGTTAAGATTCATACGGACATATATCAATATATATATACATATACGTATATATTATGAGTACAAATTAAGGTGCTACATAAAATAAAAAACAAGTCTACAATTTCTACTAGTGCTTTGTACTAAATGAGATAATATTTTCTCTAAAATAAGCCTCATCCAATTATGGAATCGTGCGGTTGTTCGTTTGAGGATAACGAATTGTCGTTCGTATTTAGTGTGGAACGCGTCCTGCTACCCAAGGCGATCGCCTCTGCGACCTGTAGAGAAACATATATATAAATATATGATATAAAATATATGATATAAATGATATAAATATATAATATCTTTGTGCAACGCACCGTATCGGGCAGCTTCTTGTGAAAGGTTTCTGGCAGCAACAGCGATAAGAGTCCTGCGAGCATTGAAATAGCTCCGAATAATAGCAGAGGTAATGGCTCGTAGTAGCTGCCCTGAAATAGATAACATATATTATTAATGAATAATAGCTATAAATGTTAGTAATACTGGAATACACACCAACAAAGGCACAAAGGGCGCCAGCATGGCACCAAAACGTGCAAACGTTGACATCACTCCAACGCCTCCGCTGCGTATGACCTGCAAATCAATTTTCATTATTAATTGAAACATTAAATATATGAGAAAAGATCGTTTCGGACCGTAGGCATCATTTCCGCCGTATACGTATAAATGACGGCAAATGACGAGGTAATGCCCAGTTTGCCCATCAAAAATAGAGTTACGATCAGCCAGTTGGCGCCTGTGGATCAACGGAATATATAAAAGTTTATAAATCATTTGTAAAAAAAATAAAAGTGGAAAAAAATGCATAAAAACTATTTGGAAATTGTTTACAGATATAATATACAGTGTCATGGGCTTTAGCTTACTGAACTACAGTAAAAACTTTCTTGAACGAATCACTTCTCAGCATGAAATAATTTATTTATTTTAAAATCTTTTTTTAATTGTTTAAAATAGTATTGACTAGTAGTACTAAGACTACAAGTTCGGCACGATTCGTTCATAGAGCTTTTACTGCATATATTATTTTTTTAGTTTAGTAAAAGTTCAGGTGTTATACATACAATTTAGAGCCTTAACAAGATCTTAAAATCATTATACATTTTTAAAATATTTCTTTAATAATTAATATTGAAGGTTTACGTTTTCGTTTATCGGCATAAACTATGCAGGCATGCGTGGAGAGTTAAGATTATGAGAATATGAGTATTATAGACACATTTATATAGAGTATTATTGGAGAGGTTAGGGACATACCCGTTGTCAAGTAGCCGCTGGCTGCGCACGTGACGGCGCAGAGCAGCAGCGAACCAGACAGAGCCAGACGACGTCCGAGTTTACGTAGACACAACTATTTTTGGTGAAGAGAAAATATATAAATAGCTATAATTTTGGATTCAGTATCGTATAGTATATGACATTTAGAACGTACCCAGGCCAAGCTATAGCCGGGTATTTCGATCAGGCAGACTAGTGCGAAGTTTAAGTATTTGTTGCCACTGAGGTTGGTCGAGTTCAGTGACAGTCCATAGAAGACGATTGCATTGACCGCCCTAAAGAATACACATGGGGTTAGAATGTCAACTCGAACTCGAATCTGAGAGGGCTAGACCGTACCATATAAACAGCAGGATAATGTAGCGTCCAATCAGCTTTTTGGAACCAAACACCTGCTTCACGGATGGCCATATCTCGCGTTGCTGCTGCCGTTTCTGCAATTGTTCCTGCTTGTCGGAACTGTTGTCCGTAGCATCGAGCTGCTGCTGCTTTAAACTGGCCATCAGTTCCAGGGAAAGCTCGCGCTGATTGACGTGCGCCGCTCGCCGGATAATGTTGCCCGCCTTAACGTGCTCGTTGCGTGCCAGCAGCCAGCGCACCGACTCCGGCACCAGCCAGAAGTAAACGACAAAGAAGAGCGGCGGTATAGAGAGCGCATACTGCAGTATCTGCCAGTTGGATAGCAACCAGGCAGCTAGTCCCAAGAGCGCCTCGCCCACCGCATAGAAATAGTTGAGCACAATGGAGGTCATTTCACGCTTGCGTGGTCCCACCATTTCCACGCCTATGATGAAGGCCAGCGGGTAGACGCCGGATGTGCCCACGGCATTAAGCAGAGCAAAGGCCAGAAAACTCGAATAGTCCCAAGCGAGCGCCTGGCCAATGCCTGTCAAGCCCATAAAAATGGTGCAGAAGAGAAAGATAAGTTTACGCCCGAAACTGTAAAGAGAGAGATTAATGAGTACCCCTAATGGCACAATCACCAATCAATGTCGACTGCTGCCACCTGATCGCAAATCTGTTGCTCTAAAACAACTGTTGCACGTTTTAGTAAAAGGTAATTTCCCAGCCGTGACTCACCGATCAGCCAGATAGCCAAAGAGCGCGGTGCCAATCACCAGTCCGGCAAAGTGTGTGGTGCCGACGAAAGCCAACTTCCAGGCATTCTCCTTGCATGTCAGCTGCCAATCCTGGACAATGGTATACTCACCCGTCTCGTAAACGAACTGCTGGCAACGCTGCGTCTGCTTTGGTAGAAACAATGAGGCGTTGCAAGTGTCCCACTGATCCAAGTGGCTTTCGTTAGCGGCAAAGCGAAGGCATGGGTCATGTGGCGTAAAGTGGCCGTGTTTGTCCCTTGTGCCTGGTATGGCAACGTCCAGCCAATCGGTCTGGTAGTAGAGCTGCTTGTTTGGCTCACATTCTTCAATGTGGCAGCGATATTTTGGTGTGCCGGCCGTAAATACATACGACAGACTATTCGCGGCCGCAAAGAGCACCGGCAGACAGATGAGCAAATAGTTGACTCTCTGATACCGTCCGAACTCGCCAATTTGACTGAGTATCTCGTCAAAGTCCATAGCTGCGACTGATTCTGCCATTCTCAGGCAGATGTTGAGTTTCGTTGATTTTCGTCTATTTTCGCTCTTCAAAATGGCCAACGCGCGTTTGCAGAACTTAACGTGACTTTGACACTTGTGCAAACACAAAATGCAGTCTCTTTCGTGATCTGATGCCGGCCACGTGCGCGTTTGTCTGATTTTTCACTCTTAAATAAAATACATATAGGCACAGCGAAGTCTTTTTGCTCTGGTGTTCAATTCAGTAATAAGACAACACAAAGGAAATTTGTAGAAGAAAGGAAACCAAACAAATGGAAACTTCGGACGTGTAGTAAATGGTGAATTCAATGGTGAGCAACGGTATTGGCTCAAAACTGGATATTTCTGTAATTTCGTTGGCAACACTAGCAAGTGCAGTGTACTTATTGTCGAATGCCTGTTAGAAGGGAAGAGAGAGTCCGAATAATAGTCAGAGTAATGTGCGTGTGCGTGTGCCTATACGTGTGTGTGTGTGTGCGTGATGGGCCATCCCCAATTGAGCGTATGACGTCGCCGCACAAGTGAACAGGCTCTCTCAGTTCTTATTGGAAAATCTAGTCGGCTTCTTGTGTATTCGTATTGTTAATATTTAATGTAAATTGAATTTATTTTTTGATTAGCATTAGTAGTGTTAATAACGATAATAGCTGTAACTTTTATATGTTTTAAAGTAATTTTTGCCTGTCGTTTGTTGTATTTAGTTGTATCCAGTTATGATATATTAAAATGATTTTTTAAATAAACAATATTATTTGATAATTATCAATAATAATTGATCGCTTATCACTCTATAAAACTTATCTCTTAGATTAGTTATTTTTATTTTTATTCATGATTGGGCTTAATTTTTGTTTGATCGGGAGTCCGGTCTGAGCTTGTTTAAGTTGCATGTCTGTTAAGGCGCATGCAATTGTTGCCAATTGATACAAATTGTTGCATGTTGTAAGTATGCGTCAGTTGGGTTTTTAACGTTTCACATCTACAGCTGTTGCTGCTGGATGAATCTTAAAACTGAACACCAGCAATAATTGAACGAATCAATCAATCAGTTTAGATAGTTTGCGTTTACTATTCATTATTTATGACAGTCACATTGTTTGCAAATTCAGCACATTTATAATTCATGGACTTTATGAGAACTTTGGCGGTTTGTGCACTTAAACGTGGCCTTGATTAATATTTAAGGTTATCTGCAAGGCGAGTCTGCCTTTGCCGGTGATAAGTCGATTGCGCTTTGCTGCCAGTCGAAATTATCTTATCAGCACCTCCTGCACTGCACTGCACACTGCCAAGATTCTCCTAATTAACGGTTAACAGAAATTAATGTGGCCTAAACACTTGTCAGCTGTTTACGCCACCTGTATCTGTTAACTGTAAGGGCCCAGTTGCTGATAGTCACCTACCGCACGATGCTATGCTTGCCAATGCACTGAAATTTCTAAAACGTTTCAGTAACATTGCAGTTCTATAGACTAGAGCTTTCTTTTGCTTGTGTGTTAGTAAATTTGTATACTTCTGAGTGCATATCAAGACGCCGGTCTGCTGAAAATCAATAAACACAGCTAAGAACGAAGCGCACCGTAACTAAAGATAAAGAGAAATATAGAGACAGGCAGTCAGCGCGTGCTTTTTAAGAGCAACGTAAGAGAGTGCCAAAGCTACCAAACGCATATTTTTATGGAGCTTTTGATCTTTTTTTGTTATTATTATTATGCACGCGTATCTCGGTAGTTCTTGGAAATTTGACTTTTTTGTTGAATATGTAACTGAAATAATAAAAAGCACAAAGCAAAGCTTTGGCATTTGCCAAAGCATTTTGTGTAAATGGTAAATTAAACATTATTGGGACTACTTTTGGTATTTTAACTAAAAAATATACGAAAATAGCAGCTATAAGTAGATACATACATATGTACATATGTATGTATTTGCTAATAAAATGGATTAATTCGAGATGTTATTAAGTAATTTGGTATTACAATACACCGATATTGACTACATATTTTTTTTCAGTCAGCAAAAACAATTATTTTACTTGCATGTCAACATATGCATATACTCTGTTTATACTTGTATCCGAAGGTAAAAGAGAGTATTGGTTATACCCGTAGGTAAGAAGTTTTGCACTGCTCTCTAATAGCTTTCAATGCACACTCTCGACCGCCGCAGTTCCCGTTGCAGCAGGGAACAAGAGGTGAATAAAACTTAACGTAACTCAACGAACAAAGCGCCGCATCGCTGCAAAAGTTTGCTCGCCATTTAGTTTCTTCCCTAACGTCTGTGTGACTGTAACTCAGAGCACAGAGTGTAGTTAGGAACACAAAAGAGAAAAGAAACAGGCATATAGTGTGAGCACAAAGTTCATCAGCGATAGCGAAGGGAAACGACAATGGGGTTTTTTGCCGAAAATATGTTAATCGATGATAGCACTGGTTCCGATTCCAATAACGATCAGGCGCTGCCACAACATCATCTAATCACAAGCGCTGCCAGCGTAGCCAATACGGCTGACCAGCAATCCACACATAGCATGAACCCCAATCCGACGGTGAATCACAGCCGACCGGAGGAATTGGAGGTAAAGCTGGAGCGAACATCTGTGTCAGAAAACAATGGCCGTACTGTTACGCAGTATGTGGAAGCTCAGCAGATGGGGCTAAGCCCCAGCCAAGCTGTCTCAATTTCTAACGCTAACTCATATGCGTACGATCCTTCTGTGTCGCCTGCTCGGCTAAAGCCACTCGATGCAGGCACAATTATGGCGGGCAATGTATCAGAAACTAGCACTCCCTCTGAGCTTTCCAATCCCACAGTAACTAGCTCTGTGACTTCCAACTCGTCTGTGTGCTGTCCAATCCAGCCAACATCGATCTGCACTGTCCTTGGCACAAAGCCAACACTATCGACCCCAAGGACAACCGATGCGAAACTCTTCATAAGTCTTCATTCTAGCATAGGCACAAGCCCTGAAAACTCCATGGGGGCACAGTCCACTCAGGGCCCAATACCCAAAGGCGAGCCAGATATCAAGAAAAGACTGGAGCCCGCAGAAGTTGTCATCTTCAACAATGCGCTCTTCGACAACAACAAAGAGTTTCAGTTGGGCAGCAATGACGATATCGGATTGCTGGAGAGCACGTTTAGCGCACTCAAGTGTAAAGTGACAATCTTTTCGGATGCAACGCTCAGTGACATAAGGAGCAATATGCAAAAGCGTGAGTCTAATCTTATATAATTGTTCTTTCTTGTGGTATGAAAACGTAAAAAGACTTCAAATCGAATCAAAAGGTTCAATATCGAATTGCATATGGATTGATCTCATTGGAGCCCAAGCCATCCAGTTACGTAATATTATTGTTAACAAATTTGTTTATTGTCTAGTATAAGACAAATTGCAAATAAAAACAGCAATTAAAAAAAAAAAAAAAAAAAAAAAAAAAAAAAATTTTACATTCTTGAGTTTTCTATACATTTCTCGATTGTTTTATGCCTTTTTGGATTTCCTGATTCCTGGTTCCTGACTCTAATTTACAGTGGAAGTGAAAAGTTTCGAGGATCGGTCAGCTGTGGTGTTGGTTGTCTTGAGTCATTGCCACCAGTACGAGACGATAGCAGCCAAGGATGGGTACTACAATCTGGACACTGAGATCATCTTTCCCCTACTGCGCAATGAAACGCTGATCAACAAGCCGAAAATGCTGTTCGTTCAGGCCGGCAGGGGCTCTAGGGAGTTGCTCAGATATCGCACAGATACAAATTCAAATAAGGTAATATATATATTGTTTATCGATCAACTACTATCAGACATTTTGACAGTGCCCTCAGCTTTATGCTGCGCCCAGCGATATACTAAAGTGCTACTGCACCTACGAGGACTCTAAGTCCTGTCAAAATACTAGTGGCACGTCCTTCATTCGGGAACTCTGCAATACGTTGAGCTCCCGTCCGAATGTTGATATTGAAAGCAATGTAAAGAGCGTCTCGAAGTGTGTAATGGCCTCTACCAGGTGAGTCTAATTACCTTTAGATCCAGTAATCATGATTTCTTTAGTACGCATGTTGCATGTTGTGCCTATCACAGGAAAAGCCAAGTGCCATTGATGACTAGTACAATGACCAGAAAATATACTTTTGGAGACTATATCTGAGTCGCTAACATTGGCTGTTGAACGTATGCTGCTTGGAGAGCACTCGAAAGATATGCTTTGACTGCGGCCAGAGAGAGATTGAGAGATGGCAATGTGTCTGTGTATGGAGGAGCGTGTGAGTGTGAGAGAGCGAGAGGGAGAGTATTTTTCTGATTGGAAAATAGTTTCTCATTCTTTTTGTGTACGTATCAGTAAAAGTATTTAGACTTAACGCAATTTGATTAGCAATAGTAGCGCTAACAGCTGTAATATTAATAGGTTTTAATGTAATTGTAATCGTGTCTGTTGCTTGTAACAAAGCCTGTTGATAATTAACTAATGTAAACGTTGTTTTGTTGTTGCTTAAATATACTTATTTACATTCTTGTTTGACTATGTACCTGATCCGGTGTGAGATCTGAGCTGGCTTAACTTACATGGCGCATTCAATTGTTGCCAGTTGATACAAATTGTTGCATGTTGTAAGTATGCGTCAGTTGAGCTTTTAACATGTCACGGCATTTGCTATTGGCTTAATCTACATCTGTTGCTACTTGACTAAGCTTACAGCTGAACACCATCCATCAGTCAATCAATCAAGCAATCAATCAATTTAGATATTTTGTTTTAATTTTCGTTATGAGAACTTTATCGAATGCTGCATTTAAACGCGACCTTGATTAATTTCAGAGGTTATGTGCAGAGTCTGCATTTGCCAATGATAAGTCGGTTGCGCTTTGCAAGGCAGTTGGAATTATCTTATCATTGCCTTCTACTCATTGCACTCTCTACTTATTGGGAAACTCTCTTAGCTAACGGTTAACAGAAATTGACGCGGACTCAGAGATCTCTCTTAAACAATTATGCACTATTTACGCCACCTGTAATTGTTAACATACAATGTAACTCTTGTCAATGTACTGACATTTTGAACATAGCTTTTTTTATTTATTTATTGCACATAAAGAAAGATACAGATCTACTGAGACACAACGAAACACAGCTAAGAGCAGCGGCGCACGAAACGCAAAGAGAGATAGAGTGAGAGAGGAAAAGCAACGCCAAAGAGCGGCGAAGCTGCCAACTGCGCTTTTTGTTTGCTTACGGTGCTTTTGATCTTTTTTTATTATTCGCGCTCGTATCATGGAACTTCTTGGAAATTTGTTTTTATTTTGAGTGTGAACGAGACAATAACAAACAATAAACAAAGAGAACTTGCCAAAAAGCTTCCAAATTGATTTGGGTTTTATGCACGCGTTAAAATTGTTATTTAACGAACTTGCAATAGGAAGTGTCCAACATAGATACGATGTACATTGTATGTATGTGCATATGTACATATGTATGTCGATGTATGCATGTACAAATAGAGCTTATACGATAATCAGAATATATTTATAATTATAGATATATTATATATAATTATAGATATATATACATACATATATATATATATAAATATATGCATTTATATAATTCAAAAAGATTTCTTTAAGGCGTGGCTAATCAATATGTCATATACATACATTTATACATGCATGCATATATTATTGATATTTGCGAATGTTTTATTATACGCCACATACTTTTGCTAAAGCTTTCATGCTTTCATGCGCAAGCGCTAATTATTTAAATACTAACTTCAACAATATTGTGGTAGCTTTTGCCTTTTTGACTATCCCAACAACATATAACTTATATGTTCATACAACCCGGAAACCGGCTGATAAGCTGGCTGGCATTAGTCGTACATCTGTGTATAAAAATAGTTAACCAGATTGTGATTAATGTACGTTGATATTGTTTCGTTCATTCATAAGACAATGCATATATGTTTATTAGGTCAACGCGTGAAAACGGTAAAAACAGTTCATTGTGTACATATCTACATAATCTACCTTCTTTACTGTTTAAGAAAGTTGTATTTTACAGATTTGGCATTGGGTCCGATTGGGACTTAGCTGTAGGTGAGCAGATTTATACAACTTTTTGGTAGATTACGCTCTGCGTATGAGTAATAATCAGGGGTATTTTCAAGTAAAATAAGCCACTGCTGTGGTCCCCGTCGTTAATGTGGGCAAAGGTGAATAAAACTTAACGTAACTTAACGAAAGCAGCGCATTATCGTTGCAAAAGCTTGTTCTCCATTCAGTTTCTTCCAGAGCGTCAATGTGGACGGAGTGAAGTACGCGAATCGGAAAACGTAAGAGAGAAAGAGAGGGCAGAGACAGGCAAACCAGCAATAAATCAAAAAGTTCTTAAACGAAGAAAATAACAAAAATGGGCTTGTTTACCAAAAAGAAGAAGTTCACCGATAATGCCAGCTCCGATTTTAATAACGAGCAAGCGCTAGCGCGACAGGATCCACGCACGCGGGTGCACACAAGAACCGCTGCCAGCGTAACAACTAATACGGCTGTGCAGAACTCTACGATAATTGATAGCAACGCAAAGACGGTAACATACCAGTCCACCACACAGACAGTGACTCACAGCCAGAAAGCGTGTGTGACGGAAATGACAACGCGCCGCACACCAAGCCAGGCCGAACTGGAGGATCTGTTGGCGCAGCTAAGGATGAATGGGGGTCGAGCAGGCAGCAGCTCAACCACAACAACAACAAACAACAACAACAGTAGCAAACGTGCTGGCCCCACCAGCCTCTATGGCGTGGCTTTGCGTTCGACCACATCTTTCAAGCCCAACGCGGAAGCCAGGAGATCCAGCACCTTGGTCAAGTCGGAGCAAACATCTGTCTCACAGAAGCAGGGACGCACTGTCACTCAGCATGTGGAAACCCAACGAGTGGTGCTGAGCCCCAAGACAACTGCAAACCCCACTTCCGCAACAGCTGGCGCCAGCTCTTCTTACAGGTCGAATATGTCGCCTTTGGCGCTAAAACCAATCGATTCAAGCTACGTATCACCCTATGCTAAGACGACCCCTGGAATCAGCTCTGTGTTCTCGAAGCCCTCGCTAATTACGTCTTCCGCGCTGCCCAAGGCGGCTACTAGTAGTTACATTCCGTACAAGCCCACAACACCCAGCTTTGTGCTACCTAAGTCTACATCAGCTAACTCCGTGTTATCCAAGCCTGCATCCACCAGCACTGCTCTTGGTACAAAGCCGACCCCAAAGACAGTAGTTCCCAAGCCTTTTATAAGCCTTAATCAAAGCAAAGGGGCCGTGCCCAAAACTTTTCCAAGCAGTGCAAGCTCCGTAGATGCACGTGCTGAAGTGAATCCCACAAAGTCTGGAATCGGCCCAATACCCAAAGTGAAGCCGGCTATCAAGAAAAAGCTGAAGCCCGCAGAAGTGGTCATCCTCAACAATGAGCGTTTCGATAACAGCAATGAATATCGTTCGGGAAGCGCCAAAGATGTCGAATCACTGGAGAAAACATTCCGAACACTGCTCAAGTGTAAGGTGAAAACCCATACGAATCCATCGGTCACCGACATCCGGAAGATTGTTGCCGAATGTGAGTATCGAGATATAGAGGGCTCGCTCGAGAGGGCTCGAGTGGAAACCAAGAGACTTACTTCACTTCAATTCAGTTAAATTATTTATGCCAAACTTATCATAAGAACATAGTTTTGGCTGTCTAATCGCAGTTGTCACCTAATCCAAGGCAGATTATTAGAAACGACAATGATAAAAATCCCCATTATTGTTAGCCCAATTATCAATTAATTCAGGTGATACAAAGTAAGCAAATGATGTCATTTCCTAATTGCAACTTGCAGTGGAACAGAAAAACTTGGAGGATCGTTCAGCACTGGTGCTGGTCATCTTGAGTCATGGCCAGCGCTACGAATCGATAGCCGCCAAGGATGGGAACTACAAGCTGGACGATGATATCGTCTTTCCCATATTGCGCAATCAATCGCTGGACGACAAGCCGAAGATCCTGTTCGTCCAGGCGTGCAAGGGATCCCGAGAGATGGGCAAATTCAAAACAGATGCCATAAAGGTGACATGAATACTTCTAGTCAATAACACCCTTTGAACTCTACCCACGCCTTTCACGCGCAGCCGCATGGTAATCCGAGCGAGATTCTCAAGTGCTACAGTACCTATGAGGGGTACGTCTCCTATCGCTTGGACACTGGCACGCCCTTCATTCAAACACTGTGTGACACATTGGCGTCAAACGTAAATATGGACATTGAAGCTATTATGAAGGAAGTCATGAATCTGGTCAAGGTCTATACCAAGTGAGTCTATGCCCAGTACCTCTTCAATGAGGTAATCAATGTTGTCTCCATTGCAGTGGCGGTCAAGTACCATCGGTAACCAGCACAATGACCACCAAATACACGTTTGGCGATTATATTTAAGCGGTCTCAGTAAATATAAGATGTAAAGAATTTGGCAAAGGCCTTTATGAGGTGAGCCTAATGAGCAGTTCCTCGCTTCTTTGCGTAACTAAATCTGGTCTTCTTTGCAGGGGTCGCCGAGTACCATCGATAGCCACTACAACTACGGAGATTGATTGTATTCTTGCCTTGTGATCATGGCAACGCTATAGTCACACTATATTTCCTGTGGCCAGACACAAAGCCAATAGCAAATGAGACTGCATTCCGGCTGTCATGTATTCTGGCCAGAAACGAACCAAAACAAATAGCTTTTAATAGGAGTATATTTTATTTTTTAGCTACACACAACTGTGCCCTCTTATTGTATCAGAAACATTCAATTTATTTAGCTTAATACATGTGTACAAAATTCCACAATGAGACCCGCAATCCTTCTTTTACTTTCACGCGAATCATGGTCAAACTAGAAAAAAGATTGCAGATCTCATAGCTTCCTTAGGTGGTGGCAGTGTAGGGAACGCTTAGCTGCCGGTAATACGAGAAGACAACGTACCAACTATACGTGTTTAAAACTGAAACCCATTTAGAAATAGAAATATTAACAATTCCATAATATATGAGAAGAGTCTTATGTTGGCGGTACTTACACACCATCGTGAAGCACACAATAATCATGACTAAGTTAGCAGGAGCATAGTCATGAGCTAACACTATGATGATAATCAAACTGATAGCGGTGTTGACCACGCAGGTGATCAAATAGAATACCAACAGTAGCGTTGACACCTAGAGAAACGAGCTGATGCAAGGCGGTCGCTTCAACCAGATATTAACTTACGACCAAGGCCCCGATGAACAGCAGGCTACATCCAATGCAATGACAAATGGTCATAGCGCGCTCAACCATTGTGACTTGTGCTTCTGTGAACAGCATATTGATATACATATTTATTGACAGGAATAGGAATACTTGGGAGTTACTGTTGGTGAAAATTATGATATTTAAATTAATGACGAGATCGAGGACGGCAATAATGTAGCAGCCCGTACGCAACTGAAGAACGCAACAAAATTTCCTTAGCAGGAACATGGTTCAGCTAATAGCAATAAGAACAATAACAGTAACAACAATAGCAATAACAATAAGAATAATAATAATAAATTTGAATAAAGAACAAACAATTTTTGTGGAGTAGTAAATATATTTCGTATTTCTCTTGTTTTGATTGCTAAGGCAAGGCAATTTTGTTGACATCCACATTAGAATTTGATCACAACGATAATCCACTGGCAGCCGCTGTCTAACACTCAGATGAATAGACTGCCTCCGAGGGCGGCGTAAAACGAATAGACGACAAACCAGAAATATATGCCGAGCACTATACAGAAAGAGAAGTACTTGTATATACGTACATATCCAACTGCAGCTAAATGTATACAGATATATGGAGTACTTACCAAACATAACCACATACATGATTATAACTGGCACCCAGATCAGCAGTATTATGTCCGATATGATCAGTATGACCATAGCCAATATTTTGACCATGGTCACCAATATATAGAACAGCATGCAACCCGGACGCAGCTACAAGATGGACATATCAATAACTATATCTGTATCTATACCGACTGGACACTCACCTTTATTGCGCCAAACAGGAGACATATAGCGCTAATCAAGTGCAAAATCATGAATGCAATAAATAACTTGTGGCACAGATCGGGTGTTCCTGGAAAGACAGATCGTTATCATTGGACAGTCCTACGGAACAGAGAACTCACCCGACTCGCCAAACACCGCTATGAATATTCCAAATATGATATCCATTAGTATTTCACAGGCTGCTATAATGAATGTGCCAATGCGCAAATCCACACAGAAGCAACAATATTGTAAATAGATCATCTTGATATACTTCTTCAGATAATGCTCCTCCTCGCAGTTTCTATACAAATATAGCTCACGACTCGAACTAATTCACTTTCTTCGCTCTATATCTCTGCAATTCCTGAACAACCGTTTCGAGCTGCACAGAGTGGTTCAACAGTTGCCCCTATCTGCGGGCCTTGGCTTAATTTAGTTTTGGTGTTTTGCTTTACTTTACGTATAAATCTTAAATAAGTGTGTGTATATAATGTAAGCAAAAACTTATTAAATACTGATACAAATACAAATATTACTTCATGGACTTTACTTCCGATTTGACAGTACAAAGAAAGCTTGGCTGATGTGAGTGCTTGTCGAGTGAAATTTGCAAACCGAAGTCCAAACCAGAAACCATACCCAAACCCGTAGAATCCAATTGTGATTCCCATTACCTCTATCGTATCTCTGAATCGAGCCTAAATGAACAGGATCTTCGGTTTGTCGAATCATTAGGATGTCATCGTCCAGATGCTATTTCCCAGTCGTGACCATTGCTCAATGTGAACACCACCAGCAGTGCTGAGTGATCCTCACAGTTTCTTTAAACCACTGCTAATTGGCATAGAGGAGTGCCCGACTAGGAGATACCCTGAACCTCGCCCAATCTGCGTTTTTTAATCTTTTCCTAGCATAAAAAGAAAAAGCTAAACCGACTTTAGGATACCAGGACTCGAAACAACATCTGCTCAACGCACACAAGCTCTAGCAACAAGAAGCAAAAAAAAGTAAGACAACTCTAGTCGGAGATGCCCGACTAGCAGATACCCCGAACCCAGTGAACATAGACATTTTTTAAAATATTTTCTATAACTAGCAGACAAACAAAGAAAATGAAAACCCGACATTAGGACACGATGACGCGAACCTGCGCGAAATAAATAAAACCCACTGCACCCAGAACTTCTCGACAACGAGGTCTTACAAACACCGCCATCTCAAATAAAGTAGCAGTTTCTATTCGAAGCATTACACCTGTTGGCCCTATTTTCAACTCAACTTAAATTGAAATTATTTGTGATAATTTTTAAATTTAAATATTAAAATACAAAATCAAAATTGTATAAAATATACAAAAAACTAAATGCAAACTTTGGAGGGTCTGGCTCTTAAGCCGTCCGAGATATATTTTAATAACTACATTTGGATCATGTTGTTAATCGATAACTATAAAGCGGCAACAGTTATCGATAGCTAGCGATAGCGATAGCTAAGCGGACCTAGCCACAGGTATTGTGAGTTGGTTGAGTTGAGACACAGAAATGCTGGATTACTGGAAAAATTTTAAAAAATTTGTATTTTTTTATCAATCATATATTATATATAAATATGTGTATCTATATAAGAATGATTAAGACAATAGCTCTGCACGGCGTCTATGTTATCTTTATCACAGGGTAATAAGAGCTAACCCTGTGCAATTTACAATTCGACATTTAAGTATTATCTATAATAAATGTCTCAATATTTGGTGAATCTAAACAGTGCTAATAATAGAAAAGATGATGACTCTAACTATATATATATGTATATATATATTCATATCTTTATGACTAGCTTTCTAATCTGACCTACATTAATCTAATCTTTAAGGTAATTAATTGTGAGAGTTTTACGCTTAAAATTTTGCTCTTAATGGTTTTTAATGACTTGAACAGGAAAACCCCATTGAAAATATTATTTCATATTTATGTAATTGCATCCAGTGCAATTCACAGAGTTCGTTCCTTTGCATCAATCTGCAATTAATGTTCGAGGGAAAGTTACCAGACGAAGTCCAAATTGAATAAAGATAATTTCTCTTTGCTCTAGCATGCAGAGTCCCCTAAGCAATACCCCAAATATGATTTATTATTGCTTAGGTGGAGCATAAGCTGCACTTGTGAGCTAGTTCCAGGCGAGGGCGTCATACTTACATACGTTCTTATAGAGGTAGGGGTAATGCCATAGAAGGTAGGGGCAGTGCCAGTTACACATTTTACTAATAATGAAGCTTCTAGTGCTAATATTGCTGGGCAATTGCCACAGTCCTATGGCAAAGGGTCTTTAAGTTTTATTGGCTGAGGCCCGGTTTGAAATTGATTACACAAATTTGCTTATTGACTCTAGTGTCTGGTCAACGCCAATGATGTGTTTCTCTAGGACTCAGACGTAATCCCCAAAAACATAGTCGCTGCTCATTGTGCTGCTTATCGATGGGACTTGAGCACCACTGCAGTAAGAGAAACAACATTAATTAATTCTAAAAGTGACAGGCATCGGCAGCTGATTAGACTCACCGGGTTGAATTTTTTACCAAAATGCGAACATGCTCCATATTGGTTTGAATGTCCACAGACGGCCTGGAGCGCAGCGTTTCGCATAGTGCTTTAATAAAGTGCGTGCCATCCTCATTTCGATAGGAGACGAATCCCTCAAAGGTGCTGAAGCACATTAATACATCGCTGGGGAGAGATGGAATCTAAGGAAAAATTTGGGTGAGTGATAAGAGCTGATGAATAAAGAATATTTTAATTACCGATTGAGCCTCTAATATGTCCACCTCTTTTTCGCCCTTGCAGGCCTGAATGAAGAGGATCTTCGGCTTGTCGTTCAGCGTTCCATTGCGCAATATGGGATCGATGATCTCAGATATCAGATCATAATCTTGACCATGAGTCAATATGACCAGCACCAGAGCTGAGCGATCCTCATAGTTTTTCTTTTCCACTGCAGTTAAAGCCAAAAGTTATCAACTGGCAAATAAATATTATTGCCTGTAAATGGCCCTAATAATGTGTGCATTTCCTATCACGGTTAAATTTATATATAATATATTACGTTTTTGGCCTGTCGGATTTTATTTTTAGATCTAATTGAACCACTTGAAAAATAAAAAAATATATATATATATATTTATATATTTACATATATATAAATAAAAAAATAAATAAATATATATATATATATATATATATATATATATATATATATATGGACACTGTTCGATGATCTGCCTTTCCGTCCTAACTAATTATAATTTGGATTGTTTACCACATTTCAATAAATTCCGCTAGAAATAAGCTATTAAGCATTCGAGCTTATCTGACGGAGTGCATGACTCAGTCAACCAATGTTCGTCTGCCCAACACTAATATGGGAAATATATATTGAACTTGCAATATGAAATATATTAAATACTTGAAAATAAATCGTAAATACCTAATCAGATCTTCTACAGATCAAACATAATTAAGACTAAAGGGGGATGGCAATATCGTTCACTGTTCGCGCTATATAAAAATATGTTCTTGATATATCTGTGAACATTGCAACATGGCGAATGTGAAGAGTTTTATAGCTGGAAAGAACACTTTAGAATTCAGCTAGTGTAGACCTTTTCTAATGATTTATCAAAGAGTTTCTATGGCCTTGGGTCTGGGACAAATGATTATACTACTAACAATTGCTACGTTTTTACATGAAAACCCTCCAAAATTATTTAGTTTCTTTTAATCTAAGCAGCACAGACTAAAATTGCACTCACACTTATTCATAGTGTTTCTGATCTCTTTGAGCGTTGCATCCTTAATGGTTTTCACGTCACACTTGAGCTTGCTGAAGGTTTTCTGCAACAATTCTGTATCCTTGGCGCTTCCCACACGGTTCATATTTTTGTCATTGAAATGCTCATTGTTAAAGATGACAACTTCTGCGGCCTTTAGCTTTTTGTTGGCATTCATTATGCAGCAGATTATGAAGGGTTTCACTCCGGTTGCCTTTGGGGTTGCAGCAGTTGATAATACGAAGACACACAGCAGGCGTCTTCGACAGCTCTGTGTAGTTTGCAATTGATTTTCAGGTAACTACTGAATAGCTGGTGTAATGATGTTGATATTTATACCTATGCGTATAAGGCCCTAAGGCAAAGAACATATATAATATATAAAATTGATTCATTCAGATAAGAAAGTAGCCGTACAAGATAATAGTCATTGGCAAGCAAGTGCAACGACCAAGCATTTGTTTCGAGTAACTGCTTCTTGTCGTCCTGGAGTTTGCTGTTTTGCTTCAGACTGTTATGCATAGATCGAAGATTTCGACTTCTTAGCGTCAATTAACTTTTTACAATTGTCTATGATATGATATCCAAAGAGAACATATCATCTCCTGCAATATAGATTGTATACTATTGCCACTACTGCTCAAGGCTGCCTCTGTCTCAAGACAATTGATGCAGTGCCTCAATTGTTTCTAGCTGTTTGTGGACCACCTCACGAACTGCATTTTGCAAAAATCAATGGCCACATTGGACTTCATGGCATTAATGTTTTACAGTGGTTAAGTGCGTTGCTTCAACGTCAAAAGTCGTAGTTGGTTGATCGAGACTCCTGACTGGATTGTCCACGTATAAACATATTGATAAATTAATTCCACCTTTTGAATTTCTCAACTTTAAAAAGGCGAAATATAGCTCGTAAGTGAAAAATATATATGATTGCTGAATAATGCCTCGAAACTCCCAATTTCAATGGCAACAGGTTATATAATTGTATATAAATAAAATAAATAACAAATAAAAATAATAAATAAATTAAATGCTTCAGATTGTCCTTAAAGACCTTTGCTCTACGACATATGTAAGTCTGATTGTGTATGAAATTGGCCAGCATAAGATAAGATTAATTGGACTCTCCAGTTTGATTATATTTTGCCATGGCGCACATACAACAATTTGAGGATATTTCAATTGCCACAGAGCTTATCAACTTTTTTGTTAATCAGAATTTGGCTTTTAGTTTCTTGTTAACTTAAGTTAACTTACAATAAATTACATTTAATTGTTGAGCAGGCTACATCGAGCTAAGCTGATTGTCTTGAGGAACGCCTTCTATTTAAAATTAATTTCTGATAGAAACATTGAAAATGTATCTCTAAAAGAAAGCATATTCCAACTAATTTATAGATATATATATTATATCTACGTGTAGATAAAAACTAGGTATCTTAAAATATCGACATTAATTCATGCATATATTTTTATGTAGACTTATGCATAAATTTTTCGGCTCGTACAAGTCTACAGATTCGAAATGATCGTGCAACAGAGAGGCAGACCGATAAAGGCAAACTTTGCTTAGCTGTTGACCTTGATTAATCAATAGATATATATGCTGAGGGGTCGGCTATGTCTCCTCCAACAGTCAGATTAACCAAATGTATGCCCGCCAGAGCCATTGCCAGTGGATCCAGGGTATGAGGCAGGTCAACATAACGTCAAGCTTTCGGAAAATCGGTTGCAATGACCGTCCATGGCCTAGCAACGGTAGTTTCGAGCGTTACCCGTACAGGTGTTATATCATAAATAACAGGCGTGCGTAACGCAATCGAGTTTTGTTAATGTTTGTTAATGGTTTTTGGCAAATAGCGGCTAAAACCGAAAATAAGGCCGGGAAGTCCAGGAAAGGCACAGAACGTGCCCGGCTCAACAACACTTGATGTGGGCGGCGGGGTCGTGGGGGGCCGGCAGCTACTGTTTACTGTATGTGTTTGCAATTTCGTTTTCAGTATTGAAATATCGAAAACGAAATTGGGCACAAAATGCGCTAAACAATTCGGGCTCATTTGTATGCCAAGTGTGCAGCGGCGATGACGACGGCAACGCCTCCGTAACGATTGCATTGGGAGGCAATCAGAAATATTATGCAAAGGGCTGTGGCTGCGAGGGGGTTATACAAACACGATCCAAATCAAAACTGTTGCGGCCCGCTCATATAAAATGCCACAGCAATCTGGCTGAATCGAATCATTCAAGTGTGAGCCAACGACGAGCTGAGCCAACAATGAAAACGCAAGTAGCTTTACTGTTTGTCCTGGCGGCCCATGTGGCCATCGTTGTGGCGCGTCCGGAGCCGCCCAGGCCACGTTATGGCGCACCACCGCCGCCAGCACCACAAAAGGAATATGGACCACCTCAGCCGGCGCAGCCGCTGCCCATTTATGGACCGCCTGCTGCCTTCTACGGGCCGCCAGCTGCGCCCACGGCCGAGGCGATTGTCACCAAGAACGTGTATGTGCATGTGCCGCCCGAGGAGCCAGAGCTGTATCCGGCCGCGTCGCCGATCCAAACGTCCGTGCCGAAAAAGCACTACAAGATCATCTTTATCAAGGCACCGAACCCACCGACACCAGTGCGCCAGGTGCTGCCACCTCCGGTACAGGATGAGCACAAGACCTTGGTCTATGTGCTGGTCAAGAAGCCCGAGGAGCAGCTGCCCGTCATCCTGCCTTCGCCCGCACCCACGGAGCCCAGCAAGCCAGAGGTGTACTTCATCAAGTACAAGCAGCAGCCAAAGCCAGCCACCCAGTACGGACCACCAGCCGTTGCCGCTGTGCCAGCCGACGAGTACGGCGCACCGCCTGCGCCACGCACCCTGGAGCAGTTCTAAAGATAAGGCCAAGTCCCGTCCAAAGACTCATATACAAACATGTGTAAATATTATTTATATGTAATTGCAACGTTCAAGTTGAGTTTCTTGATATTAAACGATATAAAATATTGAAATTTGAATATGGATTATGGAAGATAGTGAAGATTGAAATTTTAATATGGAATATGGAGGATATGGAAGATTGAAATTTGAATATGGAATGTTGAAGATTGAAATTTGAATATGGATTATGGAAGATATTGAATATATTAGATATCTCTAGTCTTTGAAATATTAAGATCTATTATAAGTCAAACATAGTAGAGATAGAAAGAAAGATATATAGATAGAGAGAGAGAGAGATGGGGAGAGGTAGCTATATATAGAGAGAGATAAAGACTGAGAGAGAGAGAGAGATATATTGAGTAAGATAGAAAGAGAATAAGAGAGAAAGATATAAAGTGAAAGTGATATGTATATAAATATACATATATATATAGAGAGAGAAAAATAAATAGTGGGGGAAAGTGAGATAACGAGCGACATAAAAAGCGAGAGAAATATAGTGTGTGACAAGGGATATAGAGTGAAAGAGAGATGTATATAGAGAGAAAAATAAATAGAGAGGGACAGTAAGATAATGTCAGGGAACGAGATAAAGAAAGAGACTTATATAGTGTGAGAGAAGGCATACAGAGTGAAAAAGAGATAAAGACTGAGAGAGAGAAATTGAGTAAGATAGAAAGAGAATGAGAGAGAAAGATATAGAGTGAAAGTGATATATATATAAATATACATATATATATATATATATAGAGAGAGAGAGAAAAATAAATAGTGTGGGACAGTAAGACAAAGAGTGTCAGAGAGCGAGATAAAGAAAGAGATATATAGAGCGAAAGATATATATATATATAGAGAGAAATACAAAGTGAGAGAGAGTGTAGGAAAGAAAGATATATTGTTAGTTGGTTGGCTTTCGATTTGAATCCTATAGTACTTTGGTTTTCCAAATACATTAATGAAGGTTGCAATTGGCTTATTCAAACAATTCCATTTTTATTTATAATTTCTAAATGCTCTAAGAAAAATGAGTCAATAAAACTAGGTTATCGCTTTCCTTTTATAACATCAGATTAGATTAGATTAGACTAAAGATTAGATTAGATAAATTAGAGTTTATTCAAAGATATTTCAATTTAAAATATTATAAAATATAAAATAGAATTATAAAAGTCTTATATAGTATCGTAATATGAGTAGACAACCAGGCAAAAGTACAAGCTGAGTACTATAGGCGAAATTAAAAAACATTTTCTTTTCGGTACAATACATGGTCTGTCAGCTTACCCGCTTGAAATATATCAAATACTATGAAATCGTAGAAGTCGTCCACCAACATGACATAAGCGCATTCCCATATTAAAACGATGACATGTACCACGGCAACGAATATATATGGCAAGAGGAGATAGCGTGTGCCCTGCAAATGGGAAAGACGTGAAGATCTGTGCTCACACTTTGGGAAATACCCACTAGGAGCGCTCCAATCAAGAGAACTACGCAGGATATCAGATAGAGCCCGCTTACGACTAATTCAGTGTAGCCCAATATAGAGTTGGCTGGGTGTACGAATATGGCTCGATGAAATATTTCGCTGTCTGCGATTGTCTCACTTACGGCCCAAAAGAAATTGATCTATGCCGCGCAGTATCACCTCGAATATAGCAATTAGAATGCAGCCACATCTCAGTTGGACGCAACAGCAGCAATTGTCGGTATAAAGCATTGCGATCCCACGATATATAATCTACAAAAAAGGGTTTATATAAAATGTTCTATATATGATTTTTGGCTTTATTGTTGGCATAGAAGTCAGTCCTACTAGGCATAGGGCTAAAATCTGTTCGACGTTTGCTTTCGACTATTTAAATTGATGTGCTTATAGCACGTCTAACTGTGAATTGTATCTATAGCTGCCGATCAGCGACCATGACTTACATTGCGGCTACGAATAATTATGGTCATTGCGAAGACTCGACATCGTATTCCACTCACGTCTCTTTCAAATTTTAGAGACTGCATAATTAATTTAATTTTGGGTTTATGCCGTTTGGCGGCTGCAAATAAAATGATGAATTTGTTATGAAATTCTCAATAAAATATAATACTTTTTGTGTACTAATTTCATTTAATAATTCTTTTATCTCTTGTGTACATCGAACCCAAGGAGTTAAGGGTTATTTTTGTTTTGTACCATTGTGTAATGCTGATATATTCTGGACTAGGGTGCATTGTTCGATAAAGTATTGTCAAGTACTTGACTATTGTAAACAAGTAGCAAAACTCTAGTCGAATTGCCCGACTAGGTGATACCCTGAACAAAGTCCTATTGGCGTTTTTTAATATTTTATCTAGCATCAAAATAAGGCAAGTGTAAATAAAAAGGACGCTGTGGGGGAACTGAACGCAGAACTTCCCATCAGCGAGCGTCGCTTCTACCTACAAGAGATTATTATAAGAGATTATTTTAATAGATTAGGAGAGTGTCCGATCTAAACTCAAGTAGCAGCTGACAATTTAAACACAAAAGTAAAAATTCAAAAAAAATGCATTTGAATGTGTGAATATATAATAAATTTGGTTTTAGTTAACGAATTCGAATGGAATCTTCAACATTTAATCTGCGTATTCGATTGGTGTATTTGCCAGTTTATTAAAAATACAAAATCTTTCACATACACTACAGTTGCAACTGAACTTAAATTGAACGTATTTTGTCAAATTTTGAGCAAGTATCCAAAATATGACAAATATTAAGATTTTATAAAATATACAGAAAACCATATACAAAATTTATAAATTTTTTATTTACAAATTTTTTATATAGTTTTCTGTATATCTCTAGCTCTAGCTCTGAAGCCGTCCGAGATATAATTTAATAACTGCATTTCGATCATGTTTTTAATCGATAACAATAAAACCGAAAAAGTTATCTATTATTAAAAACAAACTTGATATAGCGCGGGCTATAGACGGAACTACAACAAATTTCTAGCTCTTATAGATTCTTATAGTGCTAATTCGACTTGGTTCGTCATCCTGATCAAGTTTATAAATACTGTCTGCTACATGTACTTTAACAAAGCAATTATACCCTGATTTTCCATATTTAATGGGTTCAGGGTATCAAAATGTATATGTAGTAATTATTTTGATATATAATTCGATTATGCAGTTATTTTATTGAGGTAGTGTTTGCACGCCATGGACTTTCCGGGAATTTTTCCTCTGATAATTGTTGCAATAGAGTCGAATTATAAATTACAAATTTCGAATGTTTATCGATAATGTTACGAAATTATTTACCCCGCATTTGAGCCTCCACATAATAATATTAATAACAAAAATAAAAAAAACATTTCAAACATTCAATTTTATAATTTATTTATTTTTTTTTAAAGTTTCTTGGGTTTGCGTAAATTTCTCACAACAACTATTTTACAACTACATTAATGTAATGCTGTAGGATGCCCCAAGATTGAGATGCTCGAAGCATTGGTACAGTTAAACATTTATCATGAATAGCCTCTCTATGCGCTTCTCAATTTCACGACAACAAATAAATAAAAAACGAAGGTGTACCAACTGGAAACAGTTTGATGACGTTGACGTTGACGTTGACGTTGTTCATCGTGTAAACCTACAGCTAAGTATAGTTATATGTCTTGTATTTCGGGCATTAAAATACACACAATGCATTTATCGAATATTAATATATATATATATGTATATATATATATCGATTTATATATACACCCATAGGTTTTATTTGTTTTTCTTATTTTTGGTGTTCATGTCTTTTTAACTCAGTTCTTTGCGCAACTTTCGGTGCTTTTCATGCTTTGGGATAACATTATTAAATACACAATTGTTGCAAATATTTGATAGGATAAACAGGCAGATGATATACCATAAGTAAGCACTATATGCAGACGTGACGAACCTAGGATTGCATTTAAGTGTTTCCCTTAATGTGTTTAAAGTGTATGAGAGCTGAGTAAAGTAAATGTGGCTTTGGGTTTCTTGTGTTAGAGTATCAGTAAGAGTATCAACGATATCGGTGAGGCATTTGAACTCAGGTTGTTAACGTTTTCTGTGTCTCTTTGTATTTGTACTGGTATGGAAAACATGCTTAGGTGTAACTGTAACCGCTACTAAAAACACGAACAACAAACAAGTATTTGTTTATAACTTTGCTAAGCAACAAACTGAACCAAGTGTGTGCCCTAGGCCTCCTCGCACTCGTCCTCTTCGTGCTGCACGAACAGCCGATGGTTGCGTGCCTCCAGTATGGTCCACACCACCAGGGGCGTACAGCCCAAGGCCATGCATGAGCCCATGCAATAGAAACAGATCTCGTAGTCCCCGGACAGATCCCGCAGCAAGCCCGCCAACGGCGGCACCGATATGGCCCCTATGCTCTGGAACATGCGCACCAATCCATAGCTGGAGCTTATGCGATCCGTGCCAAACACATCCGCCAGCAGCACGGGCATCAGCACGTACCAGCTGCCGAGACAGAGGCCGTATACGGCAGCTGATAGACCCACCAGTACTAGGGTCTTGGCAAAGGGTATTGTCAGCACTGCCAGGCCAGCTCCCAAGATGCTGGGAAAGATTAAAAGATGTTCATTAAATTTTACGGAGCTCCAGAGCTTCTACTTACCATAGTGTATAGGTCTTCTTGCGATCAAAAAGCTGCAGATCCGATAGCCAGCCCAGACCCAGTCGTCCACACAGATCCAGCACAGCGCTGATGGCCACCAAATACCCCGCTTCGCTTTTATTGTAACCTAAAGAAAGAATTACAGCCTTTAGCCTCTATACAATGCATATTCATTTTATAACTCAGATGGCTCTATAAACCAAAAAGGAATCTGAATAGCTTGAATTAAAATCGAGAATCGAAGGCAGTTTAAAATGAGTTCATATGTTACATCTGAGTCTAATCTAAGAGAAAACTAATCCAAACTTACTTTTATTAACTCTAGAGAATTATATATCTCAAGGACTATGCATTTAAATGAAGGATATACTGAATAAGTCTCTCAATATACTCTGTAGAGCATGTTTAGATATTTATTATATTTATTAATTTGCCAATTTGAAACTCAGTTATAGATATGGTTAGATTAAGCTATAGACAGACGATCGATTATGATATTTATATCTCCTCATTTCTGCGTCCTAATTCAATAAGTAAGCGAGACCGACCTGAAGATACCCTGACCAGAACTGATTTCTTATTGATTCTATAACTATATAGCAAAGATTAGAGTAAAATGAAGTTGACAACTAAGTAGAGTGATTCATCAATAGTAAACCCACCGATGGATATGACATGCGCGGGTAGATAGTAGAGCATATAGGGACAGCCGACAGACATGAGCGTGACGGACAGGCACATCAGGATGAATCGGGGCTCCTGCAGCAGACTGAGGTCCAGATACATCTCGATGCGTGCGCAACAGCTGGGCTTCAACTGACGTTCATCATCGTCATCCTCGTCGGCAGCATCATTGTCATCGTCGTCGTCGTCAAAGACGGCCGTGGACTCTAAGATCTGAGAGTCAAGAATGCTGCCATCGGATGGCTGTTGCTTCAGCTCGCTGAGATTGCTGACGGGCGTGGGTATTTCCATGCTTTTGCTGAGACCGCGGCTGACCACGCTCGGTGGGGAGAGCGGCTTCTCGAGATGGGCATGGATCTTGCTGATGGTCTCGTCGTTGGCAAAGACATTGCGACGTCGACGACTGCCGCGATTCGAGTCGGTACCTGAGTGTTTGCGATAGACCCAAGTGGAGTCTGTGCTCAGATCCTCCACAGAGTGCAGCAGACCGGAGCTGCGCACCTTTTTCATGGGCTTTATAAAGGTGGTTTCGCCAATGATGTCCTTTACCTCATCGTCGCTCTCCTGCGCCGACTTGTCTTGAGCTGCCGAACAATAGACTATTAGACTATGAATTCCTAAGTCTTCTGCGGTGCAACTCACCTGGCTGCTTGCTGGCATAGTAGTTCAGGTGATTCTTACATTCCTCCAGAAACAAGTGCTCTATGAATTTGTCGTTCAGCTCATTGGCACCCACCTCGCAGGTGCCCAAGTACGTGGATGTCGTCAGCATGCCCGTGGTGCTGGGATTGATGTCATCACTGAGGGGCTTGCTAGCCGCATCCTGCGCCTGCGCCTGCTCGGCATAGTCGCTTAGCGGTCGGTATAGAGTGGCCGACACACACACGTGCAGCATGCAGCCGCCAAGTATGAGTATCGTGCCATGGAAACCACAGCTCTCCGCCAGATGCTTAATCAATATGGGCAGCACAAAGCTGCCGGCCGCCGTTCCCGACACGCAGATCCCATTTGCCAGGGCGCGATGCTTGTCAAAGTACTGCGAGACAATCACAATGCCTGGCGTCGTCGAGAGACCGCCACCAATTCCTAAAAGATATAACAGTGGCTTCAGTTCTTGATAATATCAGAGTTACTACGGTAATTGTTTTACTATTTTATTTTAACTACTTGGAAACACAAAAGAAATATGTTAATTACATAAGTATTTGCAAGCTAATATAAGAATTATTTTAATTGAAATATCTAATTATTTATATTTAATTTAATTCTAGTTTAATTATTCAAGAAACTGGATATACGTAATTTACTTACTTAAGTAATTGGACCTATCTCATTTAATTTCTTATGTAATTGCATTAATCAAGTTTAATTACTGAAGTAATTGTATCTATCTAATTTAATTACTTAAGTAATTGGATCTATACAGTTTAATCGTTTAAGTAATTGAATATATTCACTTTCATTTCGTAAGTAATTACAACAAGCGTAACAACTTAAGTAATTGCATCTATCTAGTATAATTACTCAATTCATAGCATCTAACTAGTTTGATTTATGAAGTAATTACATCTATCTGGTTTGATTGCCTCAGTAATTACATCTCTCAAGTTTAATTACTTAACTAATTCGATCTATCTAGTTTAATTACTTAAGTAATTGAATAAATGTACTTTAATTTCTTAAATAATTGCATCTATCTAGTATAATTACTTAAGTCATTACGTCTAACTAGTTCGATTACTTCGGTAATTGAATCTATCGAGCTTAATTTTTTAAGTATTTAAATACATTTCCATTAGTTTCTTAAGTAATTGCATATATCTAGTACAATTACTTACTAAATTGCGTCTAACTAGTTTGATTTCTTCAGTAATTACATCTCACAAGTTTAATTACTTACTTAATTCTATCTATCTAATTTAATTTCTCAAGTAATTGCATGGTTCAAGTTTAATTACTTAAGTAATTCGATCTATCTATTTTAATTACTTAGGTAATTGAATCTATTTACTTAAATTTCTAAGGTAATTGCATCTATCTAGTATAATTACTTAATTCATAGCATCTAACTAGTTTGATTTATAAAGTAATTACATATATCTAGTTTAATTACTTAAGTAATTGAATCTATCTAGTATAATTACTTAATTAATTGCGTCTAACTAGTTTAATTTCTTCAGTAATTTAATCTCACAAGTTTAATTACTTAAGTAATTCGATCTATCTAATTTAATTTCTCAAGTAATTGCATCGTTCAAGTTTAATTACTTAAGAAACTGTATATATCAAGTTTAATTACTTCAGTAATTTCATCTATCTAATATAATTTCTAAAGTAGTTGGAACTATCTAGTTTAATTACTTAAGTAATTCGATATATCTACTTTAATTACTTAAGTAATTTAATCTATTTACTTTAACTACTCAAGTAATTGCATCTATCTAGTTTGATTTCTTAAGTAATTGCAGCTCAAAAATTTAATTACTTAAGTAATTCGATCCATCTAGATTAATTACTAAAGAAAATAAATATATTTACTTTCATTTCTTAAGTAATTGCGTCTATCTATTGCTTTCATGTATCTAGTTTAATATTTTAAGCATTTTCTTCTCTCAAGTTAGATTACTTAAAAAGTGTGTCTATCAAGTTTAATTACTTAAGTAATTGGGTCTACTTAAAAGCATTCCCAAAGTAATTATACGAACATTTTATAATAATTATACTAATTCTGCTAAAAGTATTTAAAAACTAGTTGTTAAATGAAATGAGTCTAAGGTATTTAAGGTATTTTAAGGTATGTATGAATCATTTTCTTCATTTGATTACCAAGTAATCAATCCTGTTTGGCAACAAGTCAAGTAGTTTCTACTGAATTAAGTAAGTCTAAGTAATTTTTCAACTCAAGACTTCAAAAGGTAAACAAAAAGCAAATTGGTTTATGATGCTAACCGCTCACCTGTAAGAATGCCAAAGGTGAGGAGCAGGTGCAGCAGACTGGTGGCAAAGTAGCTGAGCACCATGCCGAGTGAACAAAAGATGCCGCCCACAAAGACAACCGAACGGCAGGAGAAGCGCTGGCAGAGAGCGCTTGAGAGTGGCGCGAGGACCAGGCAGAGCGCAGAGAGTATGGCTGGTATCCAGGAGGCCACTGTGGCCGTGGAGCTGGGAAATGTTTCCATAATCTCTACGTAGAGCACGCCATAGGATTTGACCAGCCCGGCCACCCAGAACTGCACAGAGAAGGCGCCAAAGACAATGAACCAGCCGTAGCCGCCATCGGGTGGCTCTGCAGCACAGCCGCCGCCGCTCTCCGTCGTGCTGGTGGATGAGTCGCGATCCTTGGCCAGCTGCTTACTGCGACGGACTGGCGCGCGCTCCAGCTCCTTGGCGCGCTTCAGACATTTACTGCGAGCCGTGCCCGACGACAATTGCTGCTTGTGACTGCTGCGCAATTCATGCGATTTGGCTATCAACGGGCGAGCCGTTATGCTGGACACGGTCAACAGGTTCTCATTGTCATCCTCCTCCAGCTCTGAGATCTGATGCTCCAGCAGGCTGGCGTGCAGCGTGCGCGGGCAACAGGGCGCATCCAAGCTGAGCGTGGCGGGTCGCAGCGCTGGCGAGGCGCACGGCGAGGGTGAAGGCACGCACAGCGCCTCCATTTGCTTGACATCCAGCTGGGCCAGGGCCATAGTGGGCAGCGGTGCAGGTGGTGCGGACACAATCGAGAACAGTGAGCCGCTTGCGGGCTGGCCGGCAACACTGCAACCAGCATTGCCGGCTGGCCCCGCCGTGTCGTTGAGAACGAGCCCTCCCGACTCGTACTGGACTCTACCAGCTGGGTCCGGTTCACTCGCGCAGTAAACCGATCCCCGTGAACCCTACAATACAGACACAGAAATCAAATCAATTTTGCGAAGCAGCTGGAAAATTAAACAATCAACAACTTAACTTAGATCCTTAACTCTGCTTCATTTTAAATTAATATCCCAATGACACGCAAACCGCAGCCGAGGAACAGGCAGGCATACGATATCGCCGAATGGTTCTCGAATGCTTGTCAGGCATTGGCTTTTCATTTAGTTAATCTTTTCAGGCTATGGCTTTGTCATAACTCTATAAATAGTTTTCTTTATTTGATAGCCAAGACTTGCGAATCAAGCTACGAGCGACTTATTTATTGTGAGCTCAATAAAATTTCTTGCCAAATCAACAGCCAATCAAATGTGACTTTTCCTCAAGCAAAAATAGTTGAGCCTGTGGCCCTTGACCTTATCAACTATGTTTCAAATTATTTTTTATGATTATCATCTGCATCTACAAAACTCAGCTTAGGCCTACAGCGAGCTAAATGCTTTGCAGTCCTGAGTTTGTAAACTGTTAAGATTTTTTCGGTTTTTCCCACCTAGGGCGTAGCTAGTCTGTAAATACTTTTTCTGGTATAACAAAAAAACTAATAATTAAGTTTCTAGAAGGGCACGTAATAAATAGGGGCAGATTATCTTCCACTGTTTTTAGAACTCAATACAGATTGAATTATATTAAGGTAAATCGCAATAAAAAGCTATGTTCTTTACAGTTTTGTAGCGAGATCTTTAACAGTTGACAGTTAGAATAGACATCTTCTTGAGATTAATCAAAATTAAATTACGACTACAGAAGGTGAAAAAGAAAACAGAAATCAACTGTCTCTATGCATGGTACTAGGAACTCGGAAATCGGAAAATAATTACTTTTAAATACACTTAATTTTAATTTGAGTCGTGTGTGAATATCATGCAGTCGGCATACGACAGCAACATTCTTATTTTGGGTAACATAATCTAATCATCACTCCAGATAAACTATTTAAAATATCCATATTTTTCTGAAATTTGTATCTCTTACTGTCCGTTCCTCTTTCGAAAATTAAATAATTTGAGATAATTTCATTCTCCAGATACACAAAAAAATAATATATATAACCTTTTCGATTGGGGTACATAACCACTAAGACTACTGGATGACTTAAGCAACCACAGGCGACTCAAAACATTTCATGTCCTAGACATGAACCTTCGAAATAGATAAATTTGGTAAATAAAAAAAGATAAAAATAGGTAAATATATGGATTGATCTCATTGGAGCCCAAACCATCCGGTTACGTAATATATTGTTAACAAATTTGTTTATTGTCTAGTACAAGACAGATTGCAAATAAAAACAGCAATTAAGAAAATTAAAATTTAAAAAAAAAATGGGGTAGATGAGTAATTGCCAAAACTTGCTTGTGTTTCAGTGCTTAAATCGGCATGTGAGCATTTTCATTTCGATGACTTTTGATCTCTCCTAGATTGGGTCATGGCACATCCATTTTATTTGTGATTTTAAACATGATCTCGAAATGTCTAGCTTACAAGTAAATTAATTTTAGTTCAGTTATATATTGGTCAGCCAAGAGGGATACTATCTTTATCTTTAGCTTTATCTCAGCAGCTTCCAAGTTTCCAATATCATCTAACTGCTGAAATATTTTCTATGAGATTTGACTAGAAATTTGCTACTAAGTCAGCTCACGATGATTGGTCTGGGGCCACGTCAAGTCGGCAGTTTACGCTAACAAGCTGGCCAACTGGGCAGAGCTAATGGCCAAAATAAAAATTTCAAAATTACACGACTCATATTGAACCGAAAGCAATACCGAGGCAACCAGTTGAAATCCTATTCCATAAATAATGGCTCCAATGCAGTGCCAAAATATAAAATCGGAAACAATGTAAAGTCCTAAAGCTTTCTATTTATTGCACTAACTTTTTCTACTACTCTTCTTTGGTCACATTGCTTTCCACATCAACTATATGAACAACATATCTAGATGCCCACATACTAACTAAATCACTGAAGTTCTCTTCCCTTGCCTTCCTTGGCTTTTACTAACATGAATTTTGACAACTGAAAATATCATAAAATAAAAATGATTTCTTCCAGATCTTAACAGATATAATACTTGAACGACTAAAGTAAATTACCTCATTACTCAGTGAGCTAAATTGATGTAATTCAATTACTAATTTAACGAGTAAGAATTTCTTTATTTGCTATTAAATGTAGCATGAGTCAGCATTTAAATGCACGCCATAAATTATCCCTTAATTGGCTTAATCCTTTGGCAAACAAACCCGACAGCTAAACACACACACGCACCTGCTTCTGTACGGTCTTCATTGCCTTTGGCAACGTCTTTTCATACATATTTTATTGTAATTATCCGCAACTACAAATATTTGCTGTGTTTTCTTGTTGTTGCTCGAAAGTTAGTTTTTTGTTAAATCGATGCCCCCCGTGTTGTTGTTAGTCACTAGTCGCTCCGCCCACACGCCCCTAAATATCGTCATCTGCATGCTGTATGAGCTGGCATGACGTCTAGCCATTTTCCATTTCCCCATTTGCTTTCAGGTTTTCCCCACATTTTCCCCATTTTCCAATTGCTAGTTGCAAGCTTTTCAGGGTCAAGTGCATGACAGTGGGAAGTTGTGGGAGTCCCTGGCAGACATCTGATAAGAAATAACCCCAACAAATTCTACTCCATAATCGACTAAAGCACAGAAAATGACAAAGATTAAAGGCGACATTTAATTAGTCGCTGAATGAGTCCATAAAATATGTGCTCTCAAATGTAGACTGTTGCATATACCTAGAAAATGTTACTTGAAATTTGTGTATTTTAAAGAGACATCTTTTAGGCAGAACTTATAAAAAGAATTCTAGTATTATTGAAAGCTTTAACCAGTTAATTCTACATTTCTTATATATAATTAATTGACTAAACTTTGTGTTTTATATTTTAAAAGGTTTTTATATTTAAGTGAATATATTTAGTTTACATAGTCAAATTTTATATACATATATAAATTTGACGTTGTTTGCGCGTGCAGACAGATATAAACTGGTTTTTCATGTACTCCAACAATTATTTTCTAACAAAGCTTTAAAGCTTTATTACCTGCAGATTAAATATATATATATATACACATCTATATATATTTATTTGTTTTGACAGTTGATTGTGGTTGAGTTTAGAACATGCTGAAGATAATTCTTAAAATTATGTCAGGTATATATTTTCTTTAATTTTTCTGTATTCTTCCATTAATTTGTTTGTGTTTTTAAATAATTTACGTCTATTGTTAGTGTAGCAAGTATTTTTGCCAATAAATCAATAAAATGAGATTTCTAACGGCCGACACGCAGTCGATACAAATATATATTTAGCGCCGGATCATAACATGTGACTCCGTGGCGCAACGGTAGCGCGTCTGACTCCAGATCAGAAGGTTGCGTGTTCAAATCACGTCGGGGTCAAGTGAGTGAAATTACTTTTTTTTAACTTTTTTAATTGATTTATAAGCTTAAAAGTGTTCTCGAACTACTTTTTAGCTTAGATAATTCATTTACTTGTGTTAATTTTTGTAAATATAAGAGTCCAATGTCTGAATTTGTATTTTTTAATATGAACTCAGTATTTTAAATGCAGATAGTTAATAGAAACTAAGAATGATCAGGTTTTAATCTATAAATGTTGTTGAACCTAAGATTATAAATAAATGACTTATGTGGAAGTTAGTTATATAGAACTACAATAATACAGAAATTGTTGTTATCAAGTCCCACGCAGAATAAACTAAAATTTCGGCAATTAAAATTCGCAATGCCTATTAAAAGATTGAGGAGACTCTTTAAGCAATCATTTGCATAGCTAAGCAGCTGCAGCTGTATCTGCCTTATAATGAAGTCAGTTGTTTATTCGGGTGCGACGCGTTGCATACGTAATCGCATTACGTATACGACAGCGCGCACAAATGAAGCTGTTAAATGTATTTTTTGCTCTGTTTTGCTTTTAATTAAAGTCGACGGCGAGGCGCGTGTCTGGTATGAGGTGACTCATTGCATTGGCATATGTCAATGGGCGACAACGTACCACTAATAGTTGCATGCCACGTGTTGATGGTGTTAAAGAATATGTGCTGCAACTAGGAAAACATGGAATCGATTGCAAAGCTGCTTGCTAATGAGTCGAGCCTTGTCATTCGGTTCTTTGGCAGGCAACGCGTGGCAGCATCCACGCCCTTTGACCTTGCCAGATGTCAAAGGTTTAGCCCCACTGTTTTCACTGTGCACTGAGCTGTGGGCTGTCGCCTGTCAGCAGGAATTTGGCTTAAATTGCCAGGAAGCGTACAGCAGATGGGCGGAGAAGTGGGCGTGGGTGTGGCCGTGGCCCGCGGGCTCAAGTTCTGTTCAAGTGCCAATGTTGTGTTTCGTTTTCAATTTCGCAACAACTCAAGGCCCTGACGCAATCTAATGAAATGAAAAACTTTGGCTTGGCTTAGGCGGGCGGATGGTTGGGCGGTTGAGCTGTTGGGTGGTTCGGTGGTTGGGTGGTAACGCAGTTGGTTGCTCTGCCAATTGGAGGCGCGTGGATAGAGATTTGTTAGAGCTTAACTTGTTGCAAGTTGTATGCTTTCTAGAGAATTGCTATTGATAGGTATTGAAATGCGTATAAAATATATTATAGCCAAATAAGAAAAGGATTTAGGTAATAAGTTTCCATGGAAAATAATGGTTATCATTTGCTTTTCGTTTCGTTCTATTATTTACTCCGAAAGACTGTTAAATGTAATACAAATTATCGTTAACAAAATAATAATTATAGCTAAAATAATACAAATTTAATCTCAATTCACCAAAACTCATGGCTAAAAGATTTATGTTAAAATCAACACATAAAAGGTTTTTACAAATAAATAAAAAATGTGTTTGGATGCTCAGTTTGTATACAAGAGCTCTCTCAGTTTACAGTTATTTGCCATTGACTTAACACGCAAATACTAGACGCTGACTTGCTTGACTTGCTTTTGCTATTGTTCCAAAAGCTGGAACTATAAAATTCTCAAATGGTTTTAGCATAATTAGAGTAGCAAGGCGAAGGCCGAAGCTCGCTGATAGGACCTGGAGGTTTATTAAATGGTCAGAGAACAGGCTAAGCCTTGTTAATTGTTTGATTAGTAATAGTCAATAAATACATGAAAAAATGGATATCAATCAATTTAGCTAGTGCACGCTTAAAGGAAGAAGATATACAAAGCTATAGACACATGAAACATATCGGAGCATAAGGCAAAGGCAAAGGCAAAGATTTTTCACTTCTGCTTTGAGTATATAACTCATCCAGAGAAAGGCAGAAGGGAATATCCAGTTTAGCAAAAAGTGGGTCATGATGTTGACTCTGATTTAAGGCAATGCAAGGGGATTTTAGCCAAGATCTGTATACAATTTGATGCTTCACAATCGTTAACTGGTCTTGACTCATGCCAGTCCTTCGCATGCTTTTGCACTCCCAAGAGAGGGATCAAGTTAAAGTTGTTATTGGAACTATTTGCTATTTGCAAGGAGCATTGTAGTTGCATTGTTGGCTCACAGTTGTGGCCGCCCCTCAAATTTCATTGTCAAACATGTGTTGGATCCGGCTTTGACCCACTCCCAGGATTTCGCATTAGCTACTCCATTGTTTACGCGCACTTGAGTGATTCGCTTTGTTGTGGGTCTTGGCGAGAGTGAACGATAGAGAGGGCAAGGCGCATGCTCACCAAATCGTGGGCCAAGCGACCTCAAACTACCTCAATATATTTGCGCTTGGCCCAAAACCCACGGCAGCCTCTACAAATGAAGCGCGTTTCTTGACCTCAGCTGTCACACATATTGCAATTAGAATGTAAACACCTTTGGAAAATGAGCTAATCAAGGAGTTGGAGTTGGGCTCGTTCACCTGTAAATGCCAGTCACGCTGCAGGGATGACATTGTCGTCCTTTGCGGTATGCTAGGCGCCTTCTCTGGTGTATCTCTTGTTGCTCGCGTTGTTGTTGTTGTTGCTTGGGGCGTTGTTGTTGTGCACTCAAATGCATTGGTTTAGCTCGATGGGGCCACACGCAGACAGCACAAAGGACCACAGCTGCAGCAGCAGCAGCAGCAGCAACGGCACGGGCAACTCCGAAAGTTGGCCCAATTTGTTGAATGATAACGTTTAGCGCGCACACGGCGTATGCGTAATGTGGAAAGCGTTTCCGTTTATGCTTTGGCACTGAGTTCAGTATGTACAATAATAAATGTTCGTTTGATATTTTGTATTCTATGTAAGGCTTTGCAGGAACTTGTGTGTCGCTTTTGAAAGGGTTTTCAAATATATTTAACTTTTGTAAGGCGCATTCGTGTCATTTTGTTGTGCGCTAATGCCAGTTGCTGTTCCTGTTTCCGCTGCTGCACGAAACACACACACGCACACACACACAGTTAACGCCCGTACACACATACACCCTATCAGTGTCTCTTTGTGTGTTCAACAAATATTCTGCTGAACAAAAATTTCTGCTACAAATCGATAAAAAAACATTTCTTTTGTTGCACATCGCCCGATCAGAATGCGCTCAGTAATTGATTTACAGTGCCGTTCATAAGCCTATTGCCTGAAATTCAAATATCATTCGTAGTGCACAGTATATAAAATTGTTTAATTTTAATTGTTAGTTAGTTAGTTTTGATCTGTTACTTATATACTTTAAATCATTCTTTGCGGGGTTTGTGTTTATTTCTTGGCTTCGATGTGCATGTCTCACTGCTCTGCGTAATACTGCTCGACCGTGTGTCCTTTCGATGCCTTTGAATCGATTCGAGAGCAAAGCAGGCAGCCGAACTCAACTTCAACACAGTGGGCACAGTGGTGAAGGTGAGTTTTGTCGCAATGTGCAATGGGTGAGCGAGACAACAATAGCCAGATATTGGTGTGACATTGGTGCGATAGAGTTGATGCATTATATTTCCATTTTGTTTTGCTCTGCATTTTTGGCCGCTTAGGTCAGGCCACGGTGGCAATCTGATAGGACAGCAAGGAGGACCCGTACATTTCTTGTGATAAAGCGTGTTTCCGTTTAACCATATCTATAAACATTCTCAAAACTAAGAACCATATGACAATGGCTAGAAGTAGAATTCGACAATTTACATAATGTATATATATCTAATTAAACATTTTACATACATATTACCATGGATGCCACAATACTCCAAAAAGTATCCATTACTAAACGCATCGGTATGGTAAAGTTAAAAATAGTCAGAGGCAAGCACACCAGCCAAGGTATCATAAAAATATAGTTCAGCTGCAAAGAGGATTTGTGCTTCAAATCATTATTTGGTCCCGATACTACTTGCCTTACCAGTTTCACGCCGATTATCAGAAGTACACATGTAATAATATCTACGATTGTAAGGTAAAAATTTATCATATTGATTTTGCCTTCCGTTGTTTCATTAAATGCGTTTCGCTCTAAATATACGCAAAAAATACATACTCCTATACATAAGATTCCAAAAAACAAAGTTAAATATTTTAAAATTTGTGAACTCGGCATATTTTACAACAAACCCAAAGAATGAGTTTACCCCAGGCTAGTTATTTTTTTATTGATAACGTAGGGGAGATCAAGCGTAACTCAATAATAGTTTTTGTTATTGAGTGTTAGCTTTAATACCGAAGTTGTAGACAAGCTTCCTAAGGTCGTTCATAAATAATCCATATCCATTTATATGCGGATTGTACATACAAATTTATATTCCAAATTTTAAGTCTCCGAGTTGCCAATTTTTGGAGACTCTAGATCTGAAACTATACAGCTTTACAGCTTTATCATTTTGATCTACATTGTCAGCGCGGGTTTGTATTATAATTTTTAAGTTGCTAGCACTTTAATATAATTTCTGACATTTAGTATTTCCCGATTTGCCCCAACAGCCAATAATAGCTACGAGTATAATAGAAGAAACTAAAACTATATCGAAAATAAATGCTAAATTTGGAGCCTCTAATTCCATGATTTAATCTATGATTTAGTATTAAAATAGTAAAGGTTATTGATTACTTGAAACAAACTGAATCTGCGCGAGACATGATATACTTTTATGTACAACAAATCTCTAGCTTTTATAGTTTCCAAGATGACTAGAGCGAGTCGGCTTTTGATCCTGATTAAGAAAAAACATATAGACGTTTTAGGGTCTGTCACGGCATACCTAATACGTTTCTGCCAATTAAAACACTCTAAATCGATTTTAACTACAGCAAAACCCATAAAATATTTTAAACAATTCCGATCATGAGCGCTAAGAATATTGTTTTGCCACAAACGTAGTAATGTTAAGCAACGAATGCAAATATAAAAGTCGAGAATATGATCTATGTACTATGTTTTTAACAGCAATTTGGTAGCTTTAACCTAAAGCATAATATTTGTACAGCTATACAAAAATTGGCTATGCCTGGCATTAGTAAGAAAGACAATTTTTCCTTTAAATATAATTTATAAGACTTAAACTATAAACAGACATAAGTCTAGGCCATAGATTTTAGTATATTTATGTGTTTTGTTTATTCAGTTCAGTGGACACAACGCGTCAAATTCAGGTAATTCTTATATTTTAATTATGTTTCATCTATTAAGTCTTAAACAGTCGAGTGCATATAATATACATTTATATTCAAGTGAAATCGTAACGCTAACAAGGTTGAAGTAGAGCGCGAAAATAAAAGTAAATTAATTTCGCATTTGCTCAAACAAAAGCTTAAATTTGTTTCAATATATGCTCCATTTCTACAAGTTATTTGTATTCTTATAAAAAGTTTACTAATTTATTTAAAATTTCTTGTACTGTTCGCTTAGTAAATAGCTGCGAGAATAACCTTGGAGCTGTTTCTAAGAGTTGGCCTTCACATTGACTTGAACTTGCAATTGTACGAGCGCTGTCCAAAACGTTTCCAAGCGAGAGGAAAATATCTGTGTACATATATATAAATTATAAATATAAAAGATAAATATAGTTTATATATCTGCTTCCTTTCTATTTACGTTAAGCTTGGAAATGTTTAAAACCACTCTCGTATTTACAATATTTATATTTCTTAAAAATGAAATGGATTGGACTTTTTTGACTTCCGTCTCAGCCGGAACAGCCACGGCATCCGCAGTGGACGCATTCCACAATTCGTCCTTCTTCCAGCTTGGACTTGGGCACGCGACAAATGCAGTTCGTGCCGAAATTCGTGTCACGCGTTTGTATGCACCGCAAGCAGCAGAGGTTTTCGTAGCCCGACTTTTTCCACTTGGCTATCAAGTTGGCATCGGCAATTTTCTCCTTCAGACAGTAGTCGTACAGCTCGCGGCTAATAGCCTTGCGGCGATAGTACAGATCGTAAATATAGCGCGTCTTCTGATGATGTATCTTGAAGATCGGCCACAGTGATTCCGTAATGCGTTTTCCTTCGTGCGGTTCTGTTTCGGCTTCGCGCATTTTCTGCTCCAGCTCTTCCAATGTTGGTTCAATAAGTTCCCAGCCATCTGGTGGAGGTTTACGACTGCGACGCACTTTTGGCATTGCTTACTTTATGACAATATAAGAAATTTGTTGAATTATGCAGGAAGTTAATTTGAGGAAAAAATGCTTGTTGCTTGCACAAACGTATTATATATATAAATATATGAACATATATTTAAAGTATGGCAACACTCCGCTTTATGTGATGCTTATTGAAAAAGGTTGCCCAGTATGCAGAAATTGTGACGTCAAGGTATTGGCACTCGAATTCTGCTGTTGGTAACAGTATAATATTAGGTTGTCCAGATTGTTCACTAATTCACATTTATATTTTTAGATATAATAGAAGCAAATACATTTCTATCATATTTTTAAGCAACTAATTACAGTGACATTCTGTCCTGTTGACCAACCTCATATATTTCTTGGTTACATGTTTAAATGCTGTCCATCTATGCAGACAAAGCGAGTTGGCAGCTCGGTTGCTGCACAATCAGCTGTTCGGCAAACTGCTCGGTTAGAACATAAAAAATCAACAACAAAATTTAATGACAATAACAATGTGCGTCGTTTGAAGTATAGCACAAAAGTAAACACAACAAATAAGCGCACAATGGATCCCATAATATTCTTTACAGTACTTACGGTTTTATATGGCGTACTGTACTTTTTCGATCGTTTTTTTAAGGTGTGTAGTTTGAGGTATAAAAAATATCGAATCAATTTAATTATTAAAAACTTCCTGCAGAGTTGCATGCACTATCCATACGATGCCTTTCTACGCAATACAGGACTGAACGTCAACTTTATGAGCCTTCACTGGCACTCAAATGCCAGCACATTCAATCGTATGCTTATACGCTGGGGCTCCGCTGCCGGCAATAGCTGCACGAGGAGTTTTCTAGTCAAATGCTTTAATGTAGGCGTCCTGCTATCCTTTCTGCTGCTGCCCATTGGCATAATACTGCTTATCATTACCATATTCAATGGCAGTGATGGTGGAACGGCAGCTGCTGCTGAAGCGACAGCAACAGCAGCAGGAGCAACAACAGTGGCCACAGCAACTGTGCAACTGGAAATTTTATTGCCTGGAGTTAATCTTCCGCTGCAAGAGATTGGCTATTATGTAGCCACCTTGGTGCTCTGCACACTGCTCCATGAGATCGGACATGCACTTGCTGCCGTGCTAGAGGATGTGCCGGTCACGGGCTTCGGCTTTAAGGTGAGATAGGGAAGACTCCAAAATTATCTTAATAAAATGTATATGTTCGTAGGTCTACTTCTGCCTGCCGTTGGCTTACACGGAGCTCTCGCATGATCATTTGAATAGCTTGCGCTGGTTTCGCAAGCTGCGTATTCTTTGCGCCGGCATTTGGAATAATTTTGTGTTCGCTTGCGTCTGCTATTTGTTCATCACGACGCTGGGCATAATCATGTCACCCTTTTATCAGTACAACGAACATGTGATTGTCACCGAGCTAACCGCAAAGTCGCCGCTGCGAGGCGATCGCGGCCTACAGGTGCAGAATGTGATCACTCAGCTGAATGCCTGCCCTATCAGCAATGAGGACAGCTGGCTAAGCTGTTTGCAGCAGGCGCAACAGCAGCGCCTGGGCTATTGCATCAGCTCCGATTTCATACGGCTAAACGATGAGAGCATCGACATAGCTCATCACAATGCTGAGGGTCGATTGCAGTGCTGTGACGAGCGCAATCCCAATGTCAGCTGCTTCGAGTACATAGAGGATGCCACTGTGGATGCGCCCGCCGAGATACCGCAGCATGTTTGCCTGCCCATGCGACGCACGCTGGAGGACTCGAGTGGCTATTGCAGAGCGGGCACTTGTGCCCAGGGATACTGTCTGCGCCCCATGTTGCGCAATACAACGAGCATTTTGGTGTTTAAGAGGCAGAGTCTGGACCAACAGCCACTGCCGCCTGTGATGTACGTGGGCCAGCCTCGTGACGTGCTGCGCTCGGTGCGCGTGTCGGCTTTTGTGCCCCGCTATAAACACATTAGTTCCGCTTGGCCCGATGCCCTTTCACTGCTGCTCAGATATAATGTGGTGTTTAGCATTGGGCTAGCTTTAATAAATGCTATTCCCTGCTTTGGTTTTGATGGCGCCCACATTACCAGCACAGTGATACACAGCTTCCTGGTGGGACGTGTCGAGGAGCATGCCAAACGGGATCTTATCTCGTTGATCATAACCAGCGTCGGCTCACTGCTTTTTGGACTGGCTTTGTTGAAGGTCGCCTGGCTGAGTCTTCTGCGCCCACTGCTGTGAATCTCTTCGTTCCGCTCCCCTCTCATCCGTGTTAACATCTACCTTAATGCTAGACTGCTTTTCTTCACACTTAGACACAGACTTTGCTGTAGCACCTCAAAGGTCTTTCTCTTTAAGCTTTATTTATTTATTATTGTGTTTAAATGTCGCTGTAATTCGATTGCAGCAGTCAAGTTTGTGAAGCTCAAATAAAAGATACAAGCATTTTTCTCACTTAACGTTCGTGCCACTTAACTGTAGACTGGTCTGAAGCTCCGTCAAGCTGCGTCTCGCACTCTGCATCAGCATCTTGATGGCCACCTCGTCATTCTGATTGCGATTGGCTTTGAAGTCATGACGAGCCCATTCCCTGAGCTCTCGTCGGCTATGCTGATCCGGCACCAGGCGTGTTGTCCTCCAAATTTCTCTGTACAGCTTCAGCACCTCCTGGCGAAGCATGAACTGGACGGAGAAGAGAATTGTTTCTTGAAAAGTCAACCCGCAATGGTTGTGGCTGTCGCTTACCTGTTTTAAACTAAGGGCAGCTTTTGGCAATTTCGACATTTTGACATTTTTTGTAATATTTATTTGAGTGTATTTTATAATTTATAATTACTATAATTCATTTAATTTTTCTGTTTGATTACGATTCTGTTATTCGCGTTCACTATTAACAGCTGATTGCGAACAGCTGTTTTTTGTTGCCCACAGCTGAGTCTCTTTGGAGTTAAGAGCATGCGCTCTCTCAAATCTTAAGAGTGTCGTTTGGCTGCACAAAGTAAAGACGAAATGTACATACATACATACATACGTATATAATAATTAATATAATATGCAGAGAAGTTACACAATGTATATATTTATTAACCTAATAATTATTTTAAAATGCAATAAACATATTTCTGTTATGAGTAGCATGTGTTTTATTTTTTGTTATAAAATGTATTAATAATTGGACAACGCTTCATGTGTATTTGGCTTATTTATTTGTTAACTAACAGAATACACATAATATTAAAAGTAATAGTTGAAAATTTAAAAAAAAAATGAACGCACTTTCATTACAATTGACCCCGACGTGATTTGAACACGCAACCTTCTGATCTGGAGTCAGACGCGCTACCGTTGCGCCACGGAGTCACATGTGATGATCTTGACTAAATGTCAATATGAACATTTTGCATTCAGCCGCGCATGTTTGTTCTATGTGAAAATTATTAAAAATAAAACGAACAAAAACGAACAAAATTAGATTTCAGAATGCAAAACAAAATAAAAACAAAATCAAAAACGTTTTGCATTTATAATTTCATTGACATAGACCGAAAAACAATCAAATACTTAAATGCATTTTTCAACGGCTGTCATGAAATGCGTTAGTCAGCGCTTATGCATGCAACATATTAAACGAACATTCAATTTGGCACTTGACTCGCAAGAGAATTATGTATTTCTAGTCGTGAATGTGAGCATGCATATATTTAATCAGATAAATTGTTGAAATGCTTAATTTATCTCCTGCTGCATTGTTTGTTCATTGCGCGCCCATTATGATTGACACGGCAGCTGCTTTGAATTATTTTTATGCTTATGATCTCTGCTGTTTCTGATGATTATAATGATGTCTTATTTGAACAATTCATTTAGTTATATCTTTTGTTTTTTGTTCATTTCATAGAGCAGAGTAAATGGTGATGCATGCACAAGAACAGACGACAGTCAAGCTAGCTAGCCAAGTGCATTGTCTTGGCCAATTTATGTTCTGTTCTTTTGCCAGTTCCAGGTACCATGACTTAAAGGGCGACGACGACTGGCACCAGTTGCAGCACTTTAATAAATATATATACATATATGCATATATACATATATATAGTTGTTACGAGCTGCATTATCGGCGCAGGGCACAATTGCCAGCTGTTTTTTGCATTGCATTGCCATAAACCTGTCCCATTACCAATATTGTCAGCTAGATCTTAATTCTTGTGCCATCTCTGTGGACCTTGGAGTGTTCAACAGTTTTGATAGTTAATTATTATTATATCAAAGAAATTCCATCTCTTGTTCTCCTTTTAACTTCCAACCAACTCTTAGCAAATACTTCCCTAATCAATATCAGCTTGATCTCTTTAGCTCGCAACAAACATTTTTCAAATTACCTGAATTTCCTCACATTAATTTCGAGCTGAAAATTGGTTTTTTTTGCGCTTTTCTTTCAAGTGCGTTTTTATCTCAGTGCAGCTTGAAAGAATTTTAAATAAATTAAAGCAAATTAGACATAACACAATAATAAATTTTCTAAAACGAACAAAAACAATATTTAAAATATATATATACATATATATGAACAGATATATCTGAATCGAGCAGGTAAGCAGCCAGCAGCCACACGATGCAATTTATTTTTAGCTTACTATAAGTTGCATCCACTAGAGCGCTGAGAGCTAGAGAGGCACTGAGACACTGCCACAAAGAGACGCCAAGATACAGAGGCACAGAGAGAGGAGAGAAATAAACTGAGACTATTTCGTTTTCGTTTTCGTTTTCGTTTTCATGAGACGGAAAATTCTTCTTAGCATTACTTTGACTCATCAGAGCCACCCAGCAGCGAGGTGGGATGGGTTGTTGCTAGGAGAGGGGCAAGGGGTCTTTGGGGACGCTCTGCATTCAATACGTCATCAGCGTCAGCAACAGCCACTCGGACTGGGGAGTCGTCGCCATCGTCGTCGTCGTCGTCGACTGTTGGGGACCCACAGCTGCGCGCAAACGCAGCAGAGGACAACAGAACAGTAAACACGAAGCAGAGCGCAAGCAGCAGTTGCACAGTGAAACGAATTATCAAAAACTTTATTAAAATATTAGCTTGATATATAAAAATTAAAAAAAAAAACATATATCTCAAATACGATTCTACTTACTTGTATATGGCTTATATATCAAAAATAAATTATATATAAAAATAAATTATACTTATTGAAAAAAAAATTTTTTGTTCAATTTGTTTTTCTACGTTGAAATATTAAATTACTTTGTCATTAGCTAATTTTAATATTAAAATGTTAGACATAGAAGTATACAATATTATCATAGTTTTTTAGTCTTAACTTAATAAGCGGATATACTTCGATACCTATTTTCATCTATAGGTGGGCTTACTTGAGACGTATTGTAATGAGTATATATTTCCTATTCTAGATATAGCACTTTACAATTTAAGTTTTCTGAATCTTATTAAATTGTGTGAGATTTTATTAAACTTTTAGAATTTTTATTGGGCTCATTTTGGCTATGTAAAGTTATATAAGTTCAAATTCGCATTATGGAAAATATTAAGTGAAATATATTTTATTTTAGAGTAAAAGATTTTTTAAACTATTTTATGATTATTTTACTTCACTTAAGCTCATGTTCTATATTCTTGTGCTCTAGCCCACGCTAGATTTATAGGCTAACCATAAGATTTATATCTTATTTGAGACTTTTTCTATGTGGCTCATTTGAATTCACTTCACATAGCATTTATTTGCCTGCACAATTGTGTTGCTTGCACCACTGTGCGGCACAAGCAGCAGCGACAAAGTAAAATTCACATGGCAGTGGCCGCCAGTGTCAAACGTTGATGAAACGCAGCCGCATGCGGACGTCGCTCGGAGCGAACGATTGAAATAAGTCGAAAAGGCGAGACGAGCGAGAGAACCGTTCAGAATCGTTCAGAATCTCAAAAGCGTTTTTGAAACAAGCCAAACACACTCAGAATTGTCTTCGGAACAACGTATTCGTGCCTCGATGTGCATGTGAAAAGTGAAAAGTGAAAATGAAAATGAGCATTGGGCATGGTTTTCCTTGACGTTCGGCTGCGGTGTTTGTTGTAAAGCGGAAAATCAAATCAAAAAAGAAAAAATAGAAATAAATTAAAAAATACCAAAAGGAAAAAGAAAGCCAATTGTGAGTGAGAAACGGCCGTACACAAAATATATACAAAATGTCGAAAATATAAAGCTATTTTTGGAATATATATTGGACAGGCGCGCTGCATTGGAAAACATATATATATATATATATATATATATATATATATATATATATATATATATCTTTCTAAGTGAATAACCAAAATATATACTTAAGCGAATTTGAATATATACATTCACATGGATACGTCCAATATATCATGATACTCCTTGAGCAGCGTTCGTACTTGAAATTGAAAAACTTTTCAAAAACAAAAAAAATTAGTTTAATTTGCGAAAGCTAACAAAGCAAATAATTTAATTGTTTCAGTGAGAGAAAAAAGATGACAGAGAGCAAAAAAGAAATGAAAAGAAAAACCGAAATTCAATAAAGATCAACAAAGAAAAACACATAAAAGCGGATCTATATAAAACACAGCAGCCTCTTCAAGAATTAATAAACAAAGGTGTAAAACGAAAATAAAAAACAATTGCGAAATGAATTCAAAATGAAATATTATGTTAAAGAGATGTGTACTCTTCTGTGGGGAGATATATAGCCCGATACACAGATCAGATACTGATTATAGTCTGCTGAAAGTTTATCGCTTATAAAGTATATAGGGCAAACAATCTGATATAGACTCGAATCTTTCTGATTTCCTTCCAATGCATTTGAGGCAAGACAAGTTCGCGCTCAAATTGTATTTACTTCTTATTGTTAATGCATGTGCCACAAAATCCACTTGGCTCTTGTTGTGCATTTGTTATTGTAAATTATATTTATGTGTATAATGGCAGCGCGCGTGTGTGTGCTTGTGTGTGTGCCTGTGTGTGGCTGTGTGTGTATGTGAGCTGTGTTATGCGATAGGTGGTAACGTTTCGTATGAGGTATTAAATTACAAGACACCAAAGTGCGCGCGAACCAAACACGCTCACATACACGCACACACGCACACACGCTCGCACGCTCACACGCTCACACGCACACATGCACGCAAATACAGCTATGTATGCGTGTACAGCTACAGATACATGTTCGGGTATATAAATACTCTGCCGCCGTCTGCTTGCGTGCGTATCAAATGGATGCGAAACAATATGCAAAGCATAGACACAAACAAACACACACACACGCGCAGAGAGAGACTCGTGTAGAAGGCGCTCAGTGAAAACTAAGAAGACGCTGTAATTAATTATGGACCCAAAAAGCAGAAGAGCTAGAAGCAGAAGTAGAGAGAGAAAACGGATTATGAGGCGGCATCAGTGGGCGTGTTTGGCTCATAATGTGAGCGGATGCAATACACTCCATGATTGATCGTTGGCTTCAATAATGAGAAGAAGCAAATTATCTGTCTGATCTCAAGCAACGGAATTTCGTAGAACTACAAAAGCTAATAATATAATTAAAATTTTGATAAATTGTAAACTTCCTGAGAGTAATCTAACTCTGAAATTCATTAAATAAATATTTTTGTATATTTTGAATTTCATATATTTTATTTAAATTATAATTTCATTTATATATTGAGCCAAAAAAAATTAAAAAAAATATATAAATTATGTATAGCTAAAGATCTGAACAATCACATTGATAAAAGTTGTTTAATATTATATAGCGATAAGAGCTCAGCAGATTATTTTTAATACAAATTCAAAGATCAAACGAAAATTTAATTTTTTAATATAATAATTTTATTAATATATAAAAAAATTAAAGTAATTGTGCTTCTCGTCTAACTCGTAATTCTCGCGTTTCAGTTGCCTATTGAAATCGGCTAGCCAAAGCCAAGGTGCATCGCATCCAGTTAGCAATGTCTGCCAAAACTTCTCCATCGAATTCGCGGGATGGCAATGTGGCAGCTGCTGCCAGCGTTGTGCCACCAACTGTGGCAGGCGGCGTCGTTCAAATCAAGAAAGAGCTGCCCAGTGATGAGATAAAGGTGAGTTTCATGAATGAAAGCAAGCCCACACACACACCCACACATACATGCATATCGCATCGAGTAATTGTCGCGTAATTCTCACCTCAACTTTTGGCACAGAACAAACACATTTATAATTAATTACTTCTGTCTGCACATTGTTTTTAAATAGTATTCAATAACAAGGATGAACAAGCAGCAAATAAAACAAAAAGAAAAAATGCTACTAACTATATATATATATATAGATATATTTTATTCAAATTTTCATTTTTATTTTGAATTTTGTTGCTGCATTTGAAATATTGCGGTTATTTATGGTTTATTTTTGAAAATTTTTACTGCTGATAATTCAAAGGGGTGAATAACACGCGGATTTTCGAATATTTTTTAAAAAATATCTGTGTAGTGTCGAGTCAACTGTTTCGACTATTTGAGTTTCAGTTCGAGTGGTTACAATATCATTTACAAATCCTTTAAGGCCTCCTTAATTTGGAATACATACGCACCCTCGTCTTCAGATTTAGAAGTCTGGGAAATGCGTGAAAGCTAAGTAACTACACACATTCTCTTGAGATTTATAGTTTTGGATATTTTGGAACATTGCTAACTTATAAATAAAAGAACATTTATTTATATAATATATATTTTTTTTAAATTGCAAGATATTTGGGATTTTCTTTTTATTTTTATTTATGGGAATTGTTTATTATTTTGAAGAGCTCGTAGACATGCTTCGACAGACTTATATACAGTTAGGAACACATTGGTATTGCGCACACTTAAGCATCGGGCACATAAAGGTCATTCATGATTTATCGCTTTTCAACTACATGTCATTCAAAATGTTATTCGAACAGCTTATTTCACTTGCTCATTATTCATGAATCTATTTATGGTTAAGCAAACACATTTTCCACCTTTAAGAGTGCATAATGGAATTCCTGAATAACATGCCCAACAAATGAGAGTTCATCATTAGTTTCCAGTTACGAGAAAAACCATGAAAACAAATACATTCCGACCAAACAATTTTGCACAAAAATAATGCAGAGAAAAACGTAATAATCCGAATCCTTAATAGCTAGAAGATGAAGCAAATTCAGTTCAGTTTCAATTACAATTTTGCATGTTGCGAGCATTGCGAAATTTCAAATATGCAACTGAAATGAAATGTTCTCTCGTTCATCGAAACTCCCAACAGCATCCAACATCCCCTACACACCCACACCATGCCCACTGTACTCAGTTGTTGCTTGTGACTCGGTTTACACTGCGATAACAAAAATTGCAGAATAACTGTGCTGCTGCGCTTAGAGCCTGGGCTCTGCAATTAGCGTTACACCGCAGCGCATTTGTAAATGGAGTTGGCATCCCCTGCACAGCCAGCGTCAACGTCGCCGTCGCCGTCGCCGTCGCCGTCGACGTCTTGCAATTACGATTACCCCAACATTGTGCGAGTTAACTGTAAACCGAAGCAGCGCTGGTAATTTTATATTGATAAATTTTTATAATCATTTTAACGAGTGAGTGAACGAGTGCCACACTCTGTCTGTGTGCCTGTGCGACAGCGTGTGCGTGTGTGTGTGTGTGTGTGTGTTTGTGTGCTTGTGAGTGGGCTGCAAATAGACGCAGACTGCCTGCCTCTACTCGCATTGAGTCTCAGAGTCTCTTCTTACCTCTTTTGCCTGTTAGCTCGGCGCGCTGCTTAAGCGCCCTACCCTACCCCACCCCTCGCTCTATGCCGCTCTCCTTCTTCTCGTTCTATCAACATTCTCTTGCGCTCTGTGTGTGTGTGTGTGTGTGTGTATAAGTTTTTCGCCAAATGAGCAAAATTAATTTAATGCCAGAGACCCGCGAGAATGACAACAGCAACAACAGCAACGTTGATGGCGGTCGCAGCAACATTTTTGTAGCTGCTATTGCTGCTGCTGTTGTTGTTGTTGTTGTTGTTGTTGTTGTTGCACGTGTAATCGGATCGGTAAATTGAAATTGTAGCCGTTGGCTTGCAGTTGAGCGCAATGATATTATTAAACAGAAAAATTATTATAATGAATGGAGCTGCGTTGGGATTGAGTTCAGGTTTTTTTTTGGTATTTTTTTTTTTTTTTGTATTTTAGTTTGGGCTTTGGCTGTGGCGCTGACTCTTGCTGCTCTGCCTCATCTCTGAGTCGGCAACTTTGCTTGACTTTGGCGTCGAAATCGGAACTTTCAAGGAATTAACGTACTTCGCTTCAATTTACTTATGAAAATGCCAAGGATTTCGCATAAAAATGTATTAAATTGGAGTACTTTCAAAATGTTTCCTTAATATTCAAAAGTCTTTACGGTTCTTTATTAATTAATACTTTATGTATTAGTCATTACTACTAAATATTATTTAGTAATGTAAATATATAGAAAGTATATTGTATGTATAATGTATGTACTATATAGAATATATATACAAGTATATATATATATGTAGTATATATAGTATTTATAACACATATGCTGTAGACCTTCTTTGAAAATTGACCATTAATTATATAGTCACGTGAATACTGTGAAGTGTCAAGTCGAAAAAATCATATCTTCCTCAGTCCCAAAGTTAAAATCGCCCCCAAAGATCTTGAGCACTTTGGGCAGTGAACGAGTATTGTGCAGTCAGTAGCGCCAGTACTGAAATTAAGGCGTCCTAACCTTGAGTCGGCTATGGCACACTTAAAATAAATCAGTTCGTTTTACGTGGAATCGCATAATCTGAAGCAGTTAAGTTTTTGTTCGTAAACAACTTTTACAACACTCTGAAGATATTTTTATATATTTAATTAGCATTCATAAATATAGAAAAATTCCTCTTTTTCCATTCCAAATTATTTGCAAGTTGAGTAGAAAGATATTCAGATTTTACCTGTCATACATGCAGGCATATCACCCTTTAACATCCCCTATTTGCTGACCCAAAAAGTATGCAACGCTTTCTGCTGAAAGGTATATTAATTGCATTGTGGAAATTGAACTGAGTTTTCTTTTAGCCCGGCTCAATGGCCGTGGCATAATTATAAGCTGCATTTGCTGCAAAGAGAGCGGCGCAAATTTAATGGAGAGTGAAAAGAGAAACAGACAACATAATTAAAACTCAACAATGACAACAACAAGAGCAACATTAACGCGCCTCATGGGTGCAATTGGATAGGACTGTGGTAAGACGATACGCTTCAAGGTTTCCGCTTTATGAGAGCGACGCGTCGTCGATCCACAGCCAAGCCAAACCGAACCGAACTCACTCGAGCCGAGCCCAATGTCTCAAAAGGACATGCCAAAAGGGACACACACAACTCGAGGGGTGCTATAACAGTTGCTCCCCATATAGCCCAGTTATTTCTTAAGGTAATATACTCTGGGAAGACACGCTAAGTAGTGTGTTTAGTCTAGGTTTAATGGAGTTCGTAAAGTAAATTTAATTTAGTTTAGCAATATTTGAGTTTTAAAGCTGAATTATTTTAATTTTGAGCTCGCATAATAAATTATATTTATTTTAGCTGCAGCTTGCTTTGCCAGATCTGAGTTTCTAAGATAAGTTATCTTATTTATTATATTCGATGTCTAGGCGAATACTATTTCAAAACAAGTTTATCTGATTCAAATATGATAATTCTGATAGCCAAATATGGAAATGGTAATTGAATAAGAAACCAATTATTTACTTTTAGTTTTAACTTAATAATAATAATATTATATATTATCAGATATTATCAGATTTGCATTTTCAATTTTTCAAGTCTTTTCAGTATTTCAAACTCCTATAATGATCTTAAAAAGTGTATTATAACTTGCTTTTCATCAACAGATATCCTTTTCGACATCAGCTCTGTATTAGCTTTACTCTAAGTAATCATAGGAACTTTATTGACTACCCTCGCCTATTGACAAATTTTGCGCACTTGAGGCAAAAGGCTAATGTTGAGGTAGTAATTTATTAATAACTGCCAACGGGTGGCGTAAACGATATATATATAATATATATTGTCAAACACAATAGTTGTTAAGCTGCCCACAGGACACACATTTGTGTCCTGGACATTCTTAAGAGCACTAAACAGAGCGCAATAAACTACTATAAGTTGTTTGTGCAGCGATTATTCAATTAACTATAATTTTGGAACAAGACATCAATGTTTTATATATCTAACAGCTTACTTAGGCAATCTCTAAAAAAAAAATATTTTTTTTCGAATTTAAATTTTTAAAATGTTTTATTTAAATGTTTTTCATGTTTGAGTAAATATTTGATAATATTTGTGCATTTATGATATTTCTATTTAAATATCAGCAACGATTAAAATGATATATTATAGAAAATAATGTGATGAAATCTTCATTTAAAATAAAATAAATAAAATAAAAATAATAAAATCCCAACAGTCTGACATGAATTAGATTTATATAAAAAATCTGTCAGTTTTTAAAATATATTTAGTCAAATCGTGCTCTTTTTAAGTCTATGTGGCATCCGCCATATAATATATTTCCATTTTACTAATCATGCAGAGGTATTCAGTTAAGGTAAGCCCAAGGTTCTTCAACTATTTACTTACACTTGCCCACGCACATAGCTAACCGTGTTATATGTATAGCCTTCTGCAGGGCAGGGTATTAAGTTACAAACACAATGACAACGCTGGCCTAGCAGCCACTCAAAGTCCTCTCCTCTATTGATAAGCAGCCATGGGGAAGGCGAGGGAGGTCGTGTGTGTGGGGCTGGGTGGGGTTAGGCACAGGCGCAGCTCAAATGACACGGCAGCAGCAGAACTTTAATAACAGCGTCTCATATTGAATTACAAACAAAATAGAATATGATAAATTCTAGACGAAACACCAGCAAATGCAGTTGCCAACACACTTACACACACAAGCGCATGGCGGGTGCTGAAAGGCGAGCGTAACGTGAGGCACCCTGTGGAGGCAGCAGCATCAGTCAGACAGCCCCTACGTCACAGGTGGCGCTCTCGTTCCACGTTAGTTAGAGCGAAATG